AAATGTAGTAATGTATTGGGATTAACTTGGGTACTGGAGAGATTTGTAAATGTACTACCCCTAGTACTACCACCACCACCACCACCAACTACCCCTAGTACTACACACCACCAAACACCAACTACCACTAGTACTACCACCACCACCAACTACCACTAGTACTACCACCACCACCAACTACCACTAGTACCACCACCACCACCAACTACCACTAGTACTACCACCACCACCACCAACTACCACTAGTACTACCACCACCACCACCAACTACCACTAGTACTACCACCACCACCAACTACCACTAGTACTACCACCACCACCAACTACCACCACCACCAACTGTCAGCAAAGTTGCTGATCCCCTACATGTGTTGTATAGCTTGTCTGAGTATCATAGTAACATCTATATGTTTTACATACACGACCCCTTTGCTAGGCCTAGTGACTAGTTTGTGTGACGTCACGTGACGCTGTTGTGAGGCCTTCGCGCCTGGGATCCTTTTCAGTCCATGCATAGGTCTACAACAGGCAACAGGGCAGTTTGGGCTCTCCCTTCTCACTGCAATATAGTGTTACCATCCAACAAGTGTGTTTATTTCCAACCTTCATATCTCCTACGAACCCCCTCGTCACAACTACCTCTAGTACTACCACCTCCACCACCACCAGTTACCACTATTACTACCACCACCACCAACTACCACTAGAACTACCACCACCCCCAACTACCACTAGAACTACCACACCAACTACCATAGTACTACACCACAACTTTCCACTAGTACTACCACCCACCCCCCATACCACTATTACTACCACCCCCAACTACACTAGAACTACCACCACCAACTACCACTAATACTACCACCACCAACTACCACTAATACTACCACCACCAACTACCACTGTTTCCTACCACCCCCACCAACTACCACTAGCAAATACCACCAACTACCACTGTTACTACCACCGCCACCAACTACCACCACCACCAACTACCACGTTATTACCACCAACAATACCACTGTTATTACCACCACCAACTACCACAAGTACTACCACACCACAACTACCACAAGTACTACCACCCCCACCACTACCTCTAGTACTACAACCACCACCCAACTAATTAGTACTACCACCCCCAACTACCACTAGAAAATACCACCACCAATACCATAGTACTACCACCCACAACTACCAATAGTACTACCATACCACTAGTACTACCACCACCAACTACCACTAGTACTACCCACCAATTACCACTAATACTACCACCCCCACCCAAATACCATAGTACTCCACTAATACTACCAAAATTTCCACAGTTACTACCACCACCAACTACCACTAGTACCACCACCCAAAAACAAGTTAAATACTCACCCCACCAAACTACCACTAGTACTACCACTAATACTACCAACTACCACTGTTATACCCCCACCAACTACCCCTAGTACTACCACCACCAATACCACTAGTACTACCACCAATACCACTAGTACTACCACCACCCCCACCAACTAGCACTATTACTACACCACCAACTACCAATATTACTACCACCACCACTAACTACACTATTACTACCACCACCAATACCACTAATACTACCACCACCACCAAACTACCCCTAATACTACCACCACCACCAACTACCACTAGTACTACCACCCCCAACTACCACTAGTACTACCACCACCCCCACCAACTAGCACTATTACTACCACACCAACTACCACTATTACTACCACCACCACCAAATACCTATTACTACCCCCACCACCCAAATACCACTATTACTACCACCACCCCAAATACCACTAATACTACACCACCCCCAACTACCACTAGTACTACCACCACCCCCACCCAAATAGCCTATTACTACCACCACCAACTACCACTATTACTACCACCATCACCAACTACCACTATTACTACCACCACCAACTACCACTAATACTACCACCACCAACAACTACCACTAGTACTACCACCACCAACAACTACCACTAGTATTACTACCACTACCATCACCATCCATTACCACTACCTCTACTATCCGCTCAGCACCCACCCACCGTCATTCCTGCATCGGTGGCACAACAGTCCGTTATGTTCCACTCTCGTGGTGTTGGTGTGCTCTCTCAACACTGCTACTATGTATGCTGCTGCTGCTCCTGGCGCAGCTTCTACCATCAATTTATCTTTATTTTCAGATGTTTTAGTGGTGTTGGAATACACATTTCTCTGTGATCCCATTCCAGCCATCAGCCAGAATTTGAGTACAAATGTTTTCCTAATGTCGTCCTGTGTCGATTTTTATGTAGATTTCAGTAATTGTAATTTGTTCTCCCTATTGCCGTCACCAGGAAGCCCTATTGCAAGCACAAAGAAACCTTCCTTGTCTACTTTTTCATAGCACTTTGAATATATTGGTGTGTCCCGTAGCTCGATCGCTACCGCACTTAGCTCACACACTGAGGTCCGGGGATCGATCCCCCAGTACGGCGGGAAAACAGGACGTGTTTCCATAAGACACTGCTATTCCTGTTCACCCATCAGTATAATGAATACCTGGGTGTTAGTCAACTGGTGTGGGTCGCCTCCTGGGACAAAATTGACCTAATTTGCCCGAAATGCTCTGCACAACAAGTGGCTTTCTAGATAGTAGTATGTCATTGATGTCAGCTATGGTCTGTATACCTTGTGCATGTACTTGTAGAAATAAAAATGTGCAAGAAAGGTATAAAATACCGACAATATGAAAGTTAAGAAACATGTGCAACATCTGGATATCTTTATTGTAGACGTTTCGCCATCCAGTGGGTTTTTCAATACAGATTCAGGGGCATAAAAAGGAAGACGTAGGGAAATATATACAAAAGAGAGGTAATCAAAACCCCAGCCTTGGGTAAGTGTTCACAGCATCGTGGGGGAGGAAAATCGGGGCAAGGGAAAACTGGCGGTTATATAGGCGTCAGTGGTAAGGAGGGGCGGGGACGAGGGCAAATCATGGTAGGGGGGATTCCCCCCTGGAAGTAGGTCCCCCAAAGAGATGGGTTAGTTGCAGCAGCCGTGAAGAAGGTCTTGTAGATGTCCTCTGGACCAAGATTCCATGATGTTGCAGTGTCTGACAAGTTGTGCAAGAAAGGTATAAAATACCGACAATATGAAAGTTAAGACACATGTGCAACATCTGGATATCTTTATTGTAGACGTTTCGCCATCCAGTGGCTTTATCAATACAGATTCTAGGACATAATAGGAAGACAGTAGAACTATATACAAAAGATGAGGTAATCAGTCCCTCAGACGCCTATATAACCGCCAGTCTTCTTGCCTTTGCTCCAGATTCTCCTCCACCACGATGCTGTGAACACTTACTCCAAGGCTGAGGGACTGATTACCTCATCTTTTGTATATAGTTCTACTGTCTTCCTATTATGTCCTAGAATCTGTATTGATAAAGCCACTGGATGGCGAAACGTCTACAATAAAGATATCCAGATGTTGCACATGTGTCTTAACTTTCATATTGTCGGTATTTTATACCTTTCTTGCACAACTTGTCAGACACTGCAACATCATGGAATCTTGGTCCAGAGGACATCTACAAGACCTTCTTCACGGCTGCTGCAACTAACCCATCTCTTTGGGAAGGACCTACTTCCACTGGGGAATCCCGCCTACCAGTGATTATGCCCTCGTCTGCTGCCCGTCCTTATCCACTGACGCCTATATAACCGCCAGTCTTCTTGCCTTTGCTCCAGATTCTCCTCCACCACGATGCTGTGAACACTTACTCCAAGGCTGAGGGTCTGATTACCTCATCTTTTGTATATAGTTCTACTGTCTTCCTATTATGTCCTAGAATCTGTATTGATAAACCCACTGGATGGCGAAACGTCTACAATAAAGATATCCAGATGTTGCACATGTCTTAACTTTCAGAAATAAAGATATTATTACTTTATACTTGTCATACCTGTGACCGGTTTCCAGGGTTCTACCGTCGCAGCCATGCCTGAGATCAGGCATCCCTCTTGATTGCTTGGTCAACCTGATTGTTGCTGCTAGCAACCTACAGGCCTAGACAGCTATTACAGCCTGGCTAATCGGGCACCTAGACGAGAGAGTGGTCCAGTTTCCTCTTGAGAACTTTAACAGTTGTTTGGGCAATTTCTTACATATGCTGGTAGAATATTGAAGTCTTGGGCCACGGATATTGACAGTGTTCGCTACGTGTACCTTTGAAGAAGCCGTCGACAACATACCCAAGCATTCTCCCTCAGGCAGAATGCATGGGTATTTTGTTGGAATTTAGTATTCTGTGGAGGAATCTGAACACGGGTGTCTGGTGCTAGCTATTAGTGTTTTACCCCTCTTATAACTCATCCTATCCCTTATCCAGGTATGTAGCCTCACTGGCATACAGAGGCCATCCTAGTTACCGAGATAAAGGTGATGAATAATTCTCATGGATTAGTCTGAGGTAGAGACCGGTTATCTCAGTCTGTAGCACTCTGGGAGATTAGAACATCGTTGACACGACCAGTCCTTAACAAAGTGCGAGGATCAGCAAAGAAGCTGATCCTCACACTTTGCCCTCTATTACCAGAACGAACATGTGTTATCTGCGCTGTATAGCCCTTGTGGCTTAGCGCTTCTTTTTGATTATAATAATAATGTGTTATCTGGCACCAGCTCTCCCCTGACGTGCCAATTGCTCTATTTACTAACTTTACTCCTTAAGGCAACGACCTAATATTAATGTTCTAAACTGTTGATAATAATCCTAACATCTAATGACAATTCAAGCCTTCCTGAATCATTACCAAGGTATAAATCCCTTGATATGTTGGGTTTAAGGGTTCGTTAAGGCGGGTAGGATTCAATTAGAGAGTTCTTTAAAAGATGGTTAAGGGTACTACGCTATTAAATATATGCAACTTAAAATACTAAACACTTAATATTTACTAGCCTACGGTGGGGGATTTTAGTGTATGACAACTTTCCACAGTTTGTTAACATATGTTTTCAAGCTTGTTTTTTCTTATTACCATGTTTTGGCTTGTCCACAGATCAACTTTGAACCTCTGCCCAACATCCGTCCTCGTCCTGGTACAGGAGAAAGAGAGCCTCCCATCACAGGCAAGCCCTTACCTGCGTCCTTTCCCGGCCAGGTCACTGGTGCTGCAGTCCCCGGTGCTCTACCCACCGATGAGTGGTTTGGTATGTTCACTCCATATTAATTAACCATGTGGTTAAGTACTTTCTTTCTTTCAACAAACGCCTTATTCCACCGAGACAGGGTGACCCAAAAAGAAAAACAAGTTTCTTTTTTTAATGTATACAGGAGAAGGGGTTACTAGCCCCTTGCTCCCGGCATTTTAGTCGTCTCTTACAACACGCATGGCTTACGGAGGAAGAATTCTGTTCCACTTTCCTATGGAGATAAGAGGAAATAAACAAGAACTAGTAAGAAAATAGAAGAAAACCCAGAGGGGTGTGTATATATATATGCTTGTACATGCATGTGTGGTGTGACCTAAGTGTAAGTAAAAGTAGCAAGACGTATCTGAAATCTTGCATGTTTGAGACAAAAAAAAAAAGACACCAGCAATCCTACCATCATGTAAAATAATTACAAGCTTTCGTTTTACACTCACTTGGCAGGACGGTAGTACCTCCCTGGGTGGTTGCTGTCTACCAACCTACTACCTAGGGTTAAGCACTTCGTCAAATATAAAGCATATTGGGAACTATACATATGTAGGTTGTTCCAAATCTGCAGTAGTGAGCGGTGAAGGGAATTGGATCTGTGCTCCAGTTCCCCGAATTAAGCCTGAATGCCTTCCACATCCCCCCCCCCCAGGGGCTGTATAATCCTACGGGTTTAGCGCTTCCCCCTTGATTATAATAATAATCAGGAGCTGTGTTCCAACATTCTTTAGTTAAATTACTGTGAACTATATAGAATGTGTGAAGTTAGGATATATACTTGGCTATCATTTTTGGCAGGATCTCATTATAAATTAAATACTTGAAAGTATTATGAACATTCACAAAAATGTTTTGTATAAATTCTTGGATTATGCCAAATTAATGTACATAATTGTGCAAGGAACAAGTAATTCTGCTTGTGGGGTCAACTTACAACCTAGGCGAAGTCAAGTAGTAGTGATATTTAATAAGCGTCTCTTGATTTTGTTGGATGCATAATACACGTTGGCTCATCTGTTCTTGAGTGATTGTGATAGCAAATGGACTGGCTCATGGTGGTTACTTTATCTCAGGGTCTAGAAAAGGACATAATTCGAATTAGTAAAGGACATGATTCGAATTCATTTTTCAGATTAGTCCTGTCTTGGAATTCTCTGTTTAGTCATTATTCTTAGGCTACTTTCAGACGGCTTCGAGTATAAGGCTTATTTGTATTGCATTTCAAAGTCAGGCTACTGTAGCTATTATGTTCAAGCTTTAGTATGTAACGTAGGTAACACAACATAAATAAGAACATAACATAAGAACGAAGGAACACTGCAACAGGCCTACTGGCCCATGCGAGGCAGATCCAAGTCTCCTACCGGCTTAAGCCAATGCCCCAACCTAGTCAGGTCAGGTCACATTCACTTAAGGAAGGAACACGGCAACTTACCTAGTAACACAAGCTAATCAGGTCCAACTCACACCCACCCACACCCACTCATGTATTTATCTAACCTATTTTTAAAACTACACAACGTTTTAGCCTCTATAACTGTACTTGGGAGTTTGTTATACTCATCCACAACTCTTGTACCAAACCAGTGCTTTCCTATATCCTTCCTGAATCTGAATTTTTCCAACTTAAAACCATTGCTACGAGTCCTGTCTAGGCTAGATATTTTCAGCACACTATTTACATCCCCTTTATTTATTCTTGTCTTCCATTTATACACCTCAATCATATCCCCCCTGATTCTACACCTTTCTAGAGAGTGCAGATTCAGGGCCCTCAGTCTATCCTCATAGGGAAAATTTCTGATACATGGGATCAACTTTGTCATCCTCCTTTGTATGTTTTCCAGAGTATTTATATCCATTCTGTAATACGGTGACCAAAATTGTGCAGCATAATCTAAATGAGGCCTAACCAAGAATATATAGAGTTGAAGAACAACCTGAGGACTCCTATTATTTATGCTTCTTGATATGAAGCTAAGGATTCTGTTAGCTTTATTGCGAACACTTGTGCACTGTTGTCTTGGTTTCAGATTACTGCTGACCAGAACTAAATCTTTTTCGCAATCCGTAATATTAAGATCTACATTATTTAGTTCATATGTGGCATGTTGTTTTCCCGTCCAACATTTAGAACTTTGCATTTGTCTATATTAAACTGCATCTGACACTTCTCCGACCACTGCATCAGTCTATTCAAATCTTCCTGGAGTGCTCTAATGTCCTCGTCAGAATGAATTCGACTTAATCGTCTGGGCTTATTGATGAGCAAATAAGTTTATCAAGTAAATTACAGAGAGAGGTAGTATAACAGTCACACAACGGAGAATTGTAATTTACAGCACTGCCTTTACGAAAGGTAAATGATTGAGTTTGATTCTGATGACATGTAGCTCAGTGGTACAAAGTTTGGCTCACACTGAAAAGGTCCAAGGTTCAATTCCCTAGCGGGTGGAGAGGTGTGGGCAAGTCTGCATACATCAGCTGCCCATGTTTACTTAGCAGTAGATGGGTACCTGGGACTTAGCAGTTATAATATAATAATACTGTACATCTTTATTTACTACAAGTACATGTACATGGTATACAGGCCTAGCTGACATCAGTGACATACTACTATCTAGAAAGTCGCTTGTTATGCAGAGCATTTCCCGCAAATTAGGTCAGTTTTGTCCCAGGATGCAACCCACACCAGTCAACTAACACCCAGGTACCCATTTTAAACTGATGGGTGAACAAGGACAGGGACAGCAGGTGTCTTATGGAAACACGTCCCTAATGTTTTCCAGTCGTACTGGAGGAGATTCGAACTCCGGACCTCAGTGTGTGAGCTGAGTGTGTTGGCGATCGAGCAATGGGTTGCGTCCTAGGGAAGGATCCCCATGGAGATGAGCCACACTCCCTTACATGGTTTTGTTCAATTCAATTCAACTCAATTCAAGTTTATTCTCTATAAGGGTTACAGTGTGGGGTTTACAGGTTTTGGGTATTGTGTGGTTTACATGTTATAAAATACTAATTACAGAGGGGGCCACTAGGACACCTAGCATGGCTAGGCATTTCGAGCAGACTTAGATTAAATCTTAACATTAAATCCTTACAGATTATGGCATTAAGGCTAAGTGACTACATCATAATTTGTGAGTTTAGCAATGTGAATGCTTTTGTTTTGGCACAATACAAGGTGTCTATATTGGAGTATCATAGGCAAACTTACGACTAGTTAGGATTTATTATTTTAAGATTAGTATTTCTGGGTTTATAGTCAGTGGGTGAGTGAGTGTAATTGTGAACCACCAGGTGGTTATCATGTAGTTAGTTGTCGGGGTGTAGCAGGGAGATAAGATGTTTTCTAACTGTAGTTTTGAAAGTGATGAATGTGTCTGCAGTTCTAGAGTTTTCATGTAGGGTGTTCCAGAATTTAGGTCCTTTGAAATAGTACATTGAATTTTTGTTAAGGTTTAGTCAAACACGGGGAATGTCATAGAGATGTTTGTGTCTGATGTTATGCCTGTGGATCCTGTCACAACTATCAAGAAAGCATTTTAGGTCAAGGTTAATATTGGAATTTAAGGTCCTGTAGATGTAGATTGCAAGGTAGTAAGTGTGGATGTTCTGAACAGGGAGTAAGTTTAGATCTATGAAGAGTGGGGGGGTGTGTTGCCAGGGATGGGATTTAGTGATTATTCTTACTGTGGCTTTTTGTTGAGTTATTATTGGCTTACGGTGTGTTGTTGGGTTTTATCCTCTTTTTAATAAACCTGGAAAAGTCGTAGTAAAAACCTTGGTGCCCCGTAGCTCGATCCCTAGCACACTCAGCTCACACACTGAGGTCCGGAGTTCGAATCTCTTCCAGTACGGCTGGAAAACATTAGGGACGTGTTTCCATAAGACACCTGCTGTCCCTGTTCACCCATCAGTTTAAAATGAGTACCTGGGTGTTAGTTGACTGGTGTGGGTTGCATCCTGGGACAAAACTGACTTAATTTGCCCGAAATGCTCAGCATAATAAGGGGCTTTCTATATAGTAGTTATCATTGATGTCAGTTAGGCCTGTATACCATGTGCATATACTTGTAGTAAATAAAGATATTATTACTGTTATTATAGATACCGACAAATTGGTTTAGAAAGACACGTGAGTACACAGAAGTGATCAAGGTCCCAGGAGCAAAACATTTTCTAATAAACATGTCCTAGTGTTTGATTATGTGTCTTCATAAACCTGGAAAAAATCAGCTTCAACTACTGTTATCTAGGAGTGATCTAGCTAACTCATGCCCGCCTAAACTGCACGAGTTATTTCTTAAATACCCATTAAACTCAAGAAAGTACTAGAACAAATTCGCAGGAAGTGTAAACCACAATAGCCTGAACAGGACTTGATGCATATCCCTGTATCCTAATGTTGGTAGTGTGTAAATCTAAATTGTATAATAAACTGATAACTTCATATGTCGTAAGAGGCGACTAAAATGCTGGGAGCAAGGGGCTATTAACCCCTTCTGTATATATACAGTGGTACCTTGACTTTTGAGTGCCCAACTACGAGTTTTCTGAGTTACGAGCCATTGCTCAGTCGATTTTTTGCTTTGAGTTGCGAGCCAAAATCCAAGTTACGAGTGAGCTTTGGATACCCCACCACTCGCAGGGATACTGAGGAAATATCAAAAACCTTGATAATAACCAGTGTGTAACGTCCTTTCAATTTTGATACCACTGATAATGATAATGTCATCCTGCCAGAATGTTCTATAACACACGCCCTAAGTAAAGAGAAACAATTCTGGAACGTGTAATGCATGTTCGGCAGGGCGGCTGGTTGGGTGGCCGGCTGACTGGCTGGCTGTCTGATTTGCTTTGGCTGTCTCTATCTCCATCTGTCTGTCTGTATCTATCTCTGGCTATGTCTATCTCTGTCTTTATCTCACAGGTACACATAAATACAGTTATACATAGTGTAAATTACCTAGGATAACTCAAAAAATCCAGACAAAGTGCTACACAGTGGACCCTTGGTTATCGGCCATTCTGCTTATCGGCCAACTCACTTATCGGTTGGAAGATGTTGAAGGGATTCCTCCAGAGCTCTCTTAGGGTTAAATCTGTGTCTGAGGTCACTTCAAAGCACCTTTGAAACACTGCTTTGGTGTACAGTTTTTTGAAGTTAGAAATGACCTGCTGGTCCATGGGCTGGATGAGAGGAGTGGTGTTAGGAGTCAAGAACTTCACTGTGATGAAATATAATTCCACAGACAACAGGTCTACCAAGTTTGGAGGATGAGCAGGAGCATTGTCCAGTACCAGGAGGCACTTGAGTGACAATTTATGTTCCAGGAGGTATTTTTTCACGCTCGGGCCAAACATGTCATTCACCCACTCTTTGAAAATTTGCCTTGTGACCCATACATTATTGTTAGCTCTCCACATCACACACAATTTACTCTTGAAAACATTGTTTTTCTTGAACACTCTGGGACTTTCAGAGTGATACACCAGTAAAGGCTTTACTTTGAAATCTGCAGTAGCATTAGCACAGAACAAAAGAGTAAACCTGTCTTTCATAGGCTTGTGTCCAGGCAGGGCCATTTCCTCCTGTGTAATGTAGGCCCTCTTTTGCATTTTCTTCCAAAACAGGTCTGTTTCGTCACAATTGAACAATTTTGGGGGAAGGAATCCTTGAGCCTCTACGTACCCCTTGAAATCTTGCACAAATTTTTCAGCCGCACATTTATCAGAACTTGCAGCCTCTCCATGCCTTACCACACTGTGTATACCACTACACTTCTTAAATCTCTCAAACCAGCCTTTGCTGGCCCTAAATTCACTAACAGCAGTACTTGTTCGTCATTTTATTTACAAGATCCGCAGACAACTGCTTTGCCTTCTCACATATCACTGTCTCCACAACACTATCTCCTGCTAATTGTTTTTCCCTGATTCACAACAATAATAACTTTTCCATATCTTCCATTATTAGTGACTTTTGTTTTGTTATCACATTTACTCCCTTTGCAACATCAGCTTCCTTGATTTGTTCTTTCTTTACCAGAGGATGGAAGTGATGGTAGATTTGTTTTTCCCATACATCCTGGCAAGTTCCAACACTTGCATACCACTCTCAAATTTTTCAATCACTTCTTTCTTACATTCCATCGTGTTTCTCACTTTCTTTACCACAGGACTTTACTAGGAACTTTCTTTGGGGCTATGCTTACTTATTTTGCAGTTGCACTTAATAAATAACAGAGAAAAGCACTGATTTATAGTGAAATGTTTGGATGAATGAGTGGAAGCTTCCTCACTCGGCCAGCAACACAGCTACACTGACTCAGGAACGCATGAGCGTCGCTGGCTGATAAGCATCCAGTATGGCTGATAAGCGAAGTAACGGCCGATAACCGGAAGCCGAAAAACTGGCCAATAAGTGGAATGGCTGATAACCAAGGGCTCACTGTAGACAGAAACAAGCAGACAGACATGTTTATATGTAACAGTGAAAAATAAAGCCAAGGCAGTGCATGATTATCAAATGTCACTCCACTGCTGCGCTGTCAACAGAGGAGTGACACTCATCTTACACCGTGCCTCAAGGAGTTTTATATATATGCCGGCACTTCTAAGACATTGCCGGGACCTGGCGAGAAAGGCAAAAATCATTTCTTATTTATAAATACATTTTTCTTATTTAAAAACCTCTAACAAAAAAATTGGGGTGGTCTTTGGGGGCTGGAACGGATTAATGGCATTTCAGTTAATTTCAATGAGGAAAATTGATTTCATATAGTGTACAAGCAAATTGAGTTACAAGCTCGGTCACGGAACGAATTAAACTCATAAGTCAAGGTACTACTGTATTACTAAATTTAAAAGGAGAAACTTTTGTTTTTCCTTTTTGGCCACCCTGCACTGGTGGGATACAGCCAGTTTGTTGAAAGAACAACTTCATATGTAGTACTGGTAGGCATTTAACAATTATAAATGATAAACATTTATGAATAAACTAATTATAATACAGTGCTGTATTATAGCATTATTTTACTATTATTGTTATATTTTTTCTGAATTGTAAAGGCTTACTCTGTTTCAAAAATATGTTTGAAATATATTTTTTATATAATGTAAGGATATAAGATTTTTTTTAAAATTTAACATAAAACATTCTTTGCAGCTGAGCCACATCAAAATTTTCCAAGGAACCAACTGCAGTACGTGAGAGAGATTGGCAAAGGATGGTTTGGCCAGGTCAGTGTCCAACCCACCCCTCCCCCCAAGACTTTTTTTTTTTTTTTTCTATACTTTGATTTTGTTGGCAAGAATATTAGTGTCACACTAAATAAAATTGCAGTGGGAAAAAGCATAAAATATATTTTTTTCTTATTTTGCCCTGCTAAGTGGTTTTGATAGTCTTGGACTGACTTGGCAGATGTTTAGCATATACAGGGCGGGAGTTAGATCCTTGTGAAATTGTAGACCACCAGTCATCCTAACTTCATTTGTGAGAATGTTGACATAATCAAATGATTGTGCATTCAGTTTGTAGCCACATTGAAAGAAGCACGTCTTGATAGATGTAACAGGAACCATAGACATAATACTAGGCACAAAAATCTCTTGACATTCCCTGTGTCTGGCTAAATCTCTTCAAAAATTCAGTGTACATAAAAGGGCCCAGAATCTGGAACTCTGCCAGAAATCTGCAGAACCACTGACACAGGCAGCATTTTTAACCCTTTGAGGGTCTGTACCATAGATCTAAGGCTTTACGTTGAGGGTCCAAACCGTAGATCTACGTCATGAGCTCAGCTCACTCGGATAAGATGTGAGCGGTAAATTTTAGCCTAGATATGAGAGAATACATCTGTGTGGTATGTGTACATCACATAAAACAAATCCTGCAGCACACAGTGCATAATGAGAGAAAAAACTGAGACCGTAATTTTCGATTAAAACAGCGACTTTGCAGTGTTCTTTCGTAAGTTTTTTATAGTTGTATTTGCGATTTCTTGGTCTCATTTGATAGAATGGAAGATATATCACAGAAATAGAGATGATTTTTGATTGGTTTTTGTACTGGAAAGGGCTTAAAAACTGAGCTCAAAGTAGCAGAAATGTTAAATTTTTGCCGATGTTCAAGAGTAAACAAATGACCTCACACGTCTAATACATGCCTGCTGTTGGGTCTAATATACGTTCACAAATGTGGTGATATTATTTATACAATTATTACAATATTGCATAACAGTAAATCTTCTATTTTTGGTTTGAATAAAAATTCATTATGTGAATAAAAAATCAAAATGGAATTCATTAGTAAAGCCTGAAAACATAACTGATGAACAGAGGAATTGTTAGTTTAGTGCCAGGAATGCCTGCATTGTTTATTCTGGACCCTATTTTGAAATTGGAGTATTTTGAACTTTGCATTAAATTGGCCAAATTACCAATTTCCGATCACCTTATTTTGTAGTTAAAAACAGTTGACTCGGCGATTCTTGTGCTCAGTCGATAGAATAGAAGTAATACTATTGAAATAGCTAGGAATTGGTCGACTGGAATATGTAATGTAATTGGCCTAAAATGGGAGTCAAAGTCGGCAAAATCACCGATGTGTAAATATCGCTGACACATCAAAATTTGGCGAGAGCATAATTTCGTCAGTTTTCCATCAAATTTCGTTTCCTTTTTTTAATTCCTTAAAAAAAATATCCTTTTAAAAAAAAACCAAATTACTTTTTAAAACATGTGAAAAAATCTATAAATAAAATATTCATCATCCAAAAAACCCCCATCAATAAACATTATAAACATAATAACTTACATGTTGAAAACTATCAGTAACTTGAACTTCTGTAATTTGTTCATGTGCCAATGTGTTTGAGTACCGAACAAATTTTTCCCAACCAATTTTGTTTTTGGTTGGCTGTTATCACTTAACTTCGTAGGCTCCATGGTGAGTTACTTACACAAATACTTAAAAAAAAAAAAACACCAAAAGATGCGAAGAAACGTGAAATAGTTTACAGCAAAGTTTTGGCAGGTCGTGTTTGTTTGGGTGAGTGCCGAGCAAACGGTCAACTACCGAGCGATTTTTCTTACTGAGCAGAGCATTTGAATACCAAACTGTTCGAGTAGGGAGCTCTTAGAGTACTGAGGTTCAACTGTATACTTACTCTCACTATCTGTAACCCTCCCAAACCTGTAATGGACACTTAAAGCCATATAGAATGAACTAATGGGATATTCAGTTTTGTTGTATTCATTGTAAACTCCTAAATTTACAACTTATTGTTATTTCCATCTTAATCTTAAGTTGGTCTTAAGTTTACCCAAAATGCTCTGCATATACAGGGGCTTTCAGCATGTACACCTATGTCATTCTCATTTGTACAGCCACTGTATCATGCTGAAATAAAATATGATTATTATCAGTGAATCTCAGTACAGTTTTTGAAAGGGGTTCTCTCGTAAGAATTGACAAACCTTTTATATTAAGGTATTCCAAGTGGTAGACCAAGATAAAGAAAATTACATTGTCTATATGAACTTGCGTAATGCCTTGGATAGTCCCACATATGAGATTGAGGAAGAAAGTATCAGCACATTTTCAAATTCAAATTCAAAGTTTATTCTCTATACGGATTACAATGCTGAGTTTACAGAATTTGGGTATTGTGTGGTTTACATGTAGTAAAATAATAATTACAGACTGTACCACTAGAACACCTAGCATGGCTAGGCATTTCGGGCAGACTTAGATTAAATCTTAAGTTTAAAATATTACAAAATTATGAGGTAAGTTGGTATTATGGCTAAGTGACTAAATACTAGTTTGTGAGTTTAGCAATGTGAATGCTTTTGTTTTGGCACAATACATAGTTTCAGTATTGGAGTACCACAGGCCAACTTATGACTAGTTAAGATTCATTATTTTGAGATTGAGATTGATATTTCTGTTTATGGTCAAATGGGTGAGTGAGTGTAAGTGTTAATCAACAGGTGGTATTCGTGTAATTAGTTGACAGGGTGTATCAGGGAGATAAGATGTTTTCTGATGGTAGTTTTGAAGGTGATGAATGTGTCTGCAGTTTTAGCATTTTCAGGTAGGGTGTTCCAGATTTTAGGGCCTTTGACATACATTGAATTTTTGTAAAGGTTTAGTCAGACACGGGGAATGTCATAGAGATGTTTGTGTCTGGTGTTGTGCCTGTGGTTTCTGTCACAACTATCAAGAAAGTCTTTTAGGTCAAGGTTAATATTGGAATTTAAGGTCCTGTAGATGTAGATTGCACAGTAGTAAGTGTGGATGTACTGAACAGGGAGTAAGTTTAGATCTATGAAGAGTTGGGGGGTGTGTTGCCAGGGATGGGATTTAGTGATTATTCTTACTGCGGCTTTTTGTTAGGTTATTATTGGCTTTAGGTGTGTTGCTGCAGTTGAACCCCAAGCACAGATAGCATAGGTGAGGTATGGATATATAAGTGAATGGTATAGTGTGAGAAGGGCAGTTTGCGGCACGTAGTATCGTATCTTGGGGAGGATCCCAACCGTTTTGGGATACTTTTTTGGGTTTTGTGTTGGATATGGGTGCTTGGAAGTTCAGGTTGTTGTCGAGGTATAGGCCTAGGAATTTGCCCTCATTATGCCTGGCAATTAGTGTTGTCGATCTTAATGTTAATTTGCGCATCTCCTGCTCTGGGTACCAAACATAATATAGTAGGTTTTGTCAGTGTTAAGCGTAAGTTTATTGGCTGTCATCCAAGTCGATATTTTGATCAGCTCCTCATTAACAATGGTGTTGAGGGGTGGCAAGATTAGGGTGAGAGATGACATAAGTCGTGCGTCAGCAAAGAGAATGGGGTTCAGGTGTTGAGATATGTTTGGAAGATCATTGATGTATATGAGGAAGAGCAGGGACCAAGGACACTTCCCTGCGGAACTCCAGTATCAAGTGGCTGTGTTGTTGATGCTGTGTCTTTAATGGTGACATACTGATACCTATTAGTAAGGTAAGATTTGAAATATGCAAGCGCATGGCCTCTTATACCATAATGGTCAAGTTTGTGGAGTAGGATGCCGTGGTCTACCGTGTCAAAAGCTTTTCTTAGGTCAATAAAAATTCCTAGTGGATATTCCTTATTTTCCAATGCTGTGTAAAGCAGATCTAGCATTTTTATGATTGCATCGTTAGTGCTTTTATTTTTCCTGAATCCAAATTGGCAGGGGTTGAGTATGTTTTGTGCCGTTATAAATGAATATAGTCTCCTGTGCACGAGTTTCTCAAAGGTTTTGGATAGCAATGGTAAGTTTGATATTGGCCTAAAGTTGTTTAAATCTGTAGGGTCACCACCTATAAGAGGAGATATGTCCTGACTAATAGGCAACCTTGTGGACTAAAATGAGAAGATATCAAAATGGGGACCTTTTACTAATGGTATGCCACTAGCTCTGATTATAAGAAATTTAAAGCCTAGGCAACAGACCATATATATGTTCAATAAAACTAATGAGATTCTCGGCTTCATATCAAGAGGTATTAATAATAGAAATTTCAAAGTTACAGTAAACCCTCACTATAATGTATGTACCTCCATATGATGGACTTTTAAAATTATGGATGATATCCATATGGGAGATTCTAAAGAAAAATTGCAAAGGTTAGTGGACAAATTTGGGAGTGTGTGTAAAGGTAGAAAGTTGAAAGTGAACATAGAAAAGAGTAAGGTGATGAGAGTATCAAATGATTTAGATAAAGAAAAATTGGATATCAAATTGGGGAGGAGGAGTATGGAAGAAGTGAATGTTTTCAGATATTTGGGAGTTGACGTGTCAGCGGATGGATTTATGAAGGATGAGGTTAATCATAGAATTGATGAAGGAAAAAAAGGTGAGTAGTGCATTGAGGTATATGTGGAGGCAAGAAATGTTATCTATGGAGGCAAAGACGGGAATGTATGAAAGTATAATGTTACCAATACTCTTAAATGGGTGTGGAGCTTGGGTTGTAAATGCTGCAGCGAGGAGGCGGTTGGAGGCAGTGGAGATGTCCTGTCTAAGGGCAATGTGTGGTGTAAATATTATGCAGAAAATTCGGAGTGTGGAAATCAGGAGGTGTGGAGTTAATAAAAGTATTAGTCAGAGGGCTGAAGAGGGTTTGTTGAGGTGTTTGGTCATTTAGAGAGAATGGATCAAAGTAGAATGACATGGAAAGCATATAAATCTATAGGGGAAGGAAGGAGGGGTAGGGGTCGTCCTGGAAAGGGTTGGAAAGAGGGGGTAAAGGAGGTTTTGTGGGCGAGGGGCTTGGACTTCCAGCAAGCGTGCATGAGCGTGATAGGAGTGAATGGAGACGAATGATACTTGGGACCTGACAATCTGTTGGAGTGTGAGCAGGGTAATATTTAGTGAAGGGATTCAGGGAAACCGGTTATTTTCATATTTTCGGACTTGAGTCCTGGAAATGGGAAGTACAATGCCTGCACATTAAAGGAGGGGTTTGGGATATTGGCAGTTTGGAGGGATATGTTGTGTATCTTTATACGTATATGCTTCTAAGCTGTTGTATTCTGAGCACCTCTGCAAAAGCAGTGATAATGTGTGAGTGTGGTGAAAGTGTTGAATGATGATGAAAGTATTTTCTTTTTGGGGATTTTCTTTCTTTTTTGGGTCACCCTGCCTCGGTGGGAGACGGCCGACTTGTTAAAAAAAAAAAAAAAAAAAAAAACATAGTACTTCTAAACTGTTGTATTCTGGGCACCTCTGCAAAAACAGTGATTATGTGTGAGTGAGGTGAAAGTGTTGAATGATGATGAAAGTATTTTCTTTTTGGGGATTTTCTTTCTTTTTGGGTCACCCTGCCTCGGTGGGAGACGGCCGACTTGTTGAAAAAAAAAAATCCAATACTTATATTGTACTTATAGCACCTTTATTTATAATGTCTGTTGCAGTATATCTGTAAATTGTATGTACAGTACTATACAGTACCACCATGGTAGAATGACCCAAATAAGGAAATGAACTCAGTATCATTCATTCAGTAGCTGTCTGGCCAGAAGTTCACAGGCATCATAGTTTAAATGACCTCCTAAAATGCAACATTCCCACCCCACATTAAGAATACAAGCACTGTACTTCCCACGTTGATAATGATAGGGTAAATTTGATAATGTTGTAAATGGAATATTTAAAATACTGAATAACCAAAAGGTTCTAGTGCTTTGTAAATAAATCAACAAACATTACAATGGCTGAAGCAGTAAACTCTTTCTTACTTTGCAATGAAAATTGGATATCTTGATATGTCTTGGACTATAATCAGATCAGACTGAAATTTATTTTTTTTTATTATCACACTGGCCGATTCCCACCAAGGCAGGGTGGCCCGAAAAAGAAAAACTTTCACCATCATTCACTCCATCACTGTCTTGCCAGAAGGGTGCTTTACACTACAGTTTTTAAACTGCAACATTTACACCCCTCCTTCAGAGTGCAGGCATTGTACTTCCCATCTCCAGGACTCAAGTCCGGCCTGCCGGTTTCCCTGAACCCCTTCATAAATGTTACTTTGCTCACACTCCAACAGCACGTCAAGTATTAAAAACCATTTGTCTCCATTCACTCCTATCAAACACGCTCACGCATGCCTGCTGGAAGTCCAAGCCCCTCGCACACAAAACCTCCTTTACCCCCTCCCTCCAACCTTTCCTAGGCCGACCCCTACCCCGCCTTCCTTCCACTACAGACTGATACACTCTTGAAGTCATTCTGTTTCGCTCCATTCTCTCTACATGTCCGAACCACCTCAACAACCCTTCCTCAGCCCTCTGGACAACAGTTTTGGTAATCCCGCACCTCCTCCTAACTTCCAAACTACGAATTCTCTGCATTATATTCACACCACACATTGCCCTCAGACATGACATCTCCACTGCCTCCAGTCTTCTCCTCGCTGCAACATTCATCACCCATGCTTCACACCCATATAAGAGCGTTGGTAAAATTATACTCTCATACATTCCCCTCTTTGCCTCCAAGGACAAAGTTCTTTGTCTCCACAGACTCCTAAGTGCACCACTCACCCTTTTCCCCTCATCAATTCTATGATTCACTTCATCTTTCATAGACCCATCCGCTGACACGTCCACTCCCAAATATCTGAATACATTCACCTCCTCCATACTCTCTCCCTCCAATCTGATATCCAATCTTTCATCACCTAATCTTTTTGTTATCCTCATAACCTTACTCTTTCCTGTATTCACCTTCAATTTTCTTCTTTTGCACACCCTACCAAATTCATCCACCAATCTCTGCAAATTCTCTTCAGAATCTCCCAAGAGCACAGTGTCATCAGCAAAGAGCAACTGTGACAACTCCCACTTTGTGTGATTCTTTATCTTTTAACTCCATGCCTCTTGCCAAGACCCTCGCATTCACTTCTCTTACAACCCCATCTATAAATATATTAAACAACCACGGTGACATCACACATCCTTGTCTAAGGCCTACTTTTACTGGGAAATAATTTCCCTCTTTCCTACATACTCTAACTTGAGCCTCACTATCCTCGTAAAAACTCTTCACTGCTTTCAGTAACCTACCTCCTACACCATACACCTGCAACATCTGCCACATTGCCCCCCTATCCACCCTGTCATACGCCTTTTCCAAATCCATAAATGCCACAAAGACCTCTTTAGCCTTATCTAAATACTGTTCACTTATATGTTTCACTGTAAACACCTGGTCCACACACCCCCTACCTTTCCTAAAGCCTCCTTGTTCATCTGCTATCCTATTCTCCGTTTTACTCTTAATTCTTTCAATAATAACTCTACCATACACTTTACCAGGTATACTCAACAGACTTATCCCCCTATAATTTTTTGCACTCTCTTTTATCCCCTTTGCCTTTATACAAAGGAACTATGCATGCTCTCTGCCAATCCCTAGGTACCTTTCCCTCTTCCATACATTTATTAAATAATTGCACCAACCACTCCAAAACTATATCCCCACCTGCTTTTAACATTTCTATCTTTATCCCATCAATCCCAGCTGCCTTACCCCCTTTCATTTTTACCTACTGCCTCACGAACTTCCTCCACACTCACAACTGGCTCTTCCTCACTCCTGCAAGATGTTATTCCTCCTTGCCCTATACACGAAATCACAGCTTCCCTATCTTCATCAACATTTAACAATTCCTCAAAATATTCCCTCCATCTTCCCAATACCTCTAACTCTCCATTTAATAACTCTCCCTCTCCTATTTTTAACTGACAAATCCATTTGTTCTCTAGGCTTCCTTAACTTGTTAATCTCACTCCAAAACTTTTTTTTTTTTTTTTTTTTTTTTTTTTTCCAACAAAATTTGTTGATAACATCTCACCCACTCTCTCATTTGCTCTCTTTTTACATTGCTTCACCACTCTCTTAACCTCTCTCTTTTTCTCCATATACTCTTCCCTCCTTGCATCACTTCTACTTTGTAAAAACTTCTCATATGCTAACTTTTTCTCCCTTACTACTCTCTTTACAACATCATTCCACCAATCGCTCCTCTTCCCTCCCGCACCCACTTTCCTGTAACCACAAACTTTTGCTTAACACTCTAACACTACATTTTTAAACCTACCCCATACCTCTTCGACCCCATTGCCTATGCTCTCATTTGCCCATCTATCCTCCAATAGCTGTTTATATCTTATCCTAACTGCCTCCTCTTTTAGTTTATAAACCTTCACCTCTCTCTTCCCTGATGCTTCTATTCTCCTTGTATCCCATCTACCTTTTACTCTCAGTGTAGCTACAACTGGAAAGTGATCTGATATATCTGTGGCCCCTCTATAAACATGTACATCTGAAGTCTACTCAACAGTCTTTTATCTACCAATACATAATCCAACAAACTACTGTCATTTCGCCCTACATCATATCTTGTATACTTATTTATCCTCTTTTTCTTAAAATATGTATTACCTATAACTAAACCCCTTTCTATACAAAGTTCAATCAAAGGGCTCCCATTATCATTTACACCTGGCACCCCAAACTTACCTACCACACCCTCTCTAAAAGTTTCTCCTACTTTAGCATTCAGGTCCCCTACCACAATTACTCTCTCACTTGGTTCAAAGGCTCCTATACATTCACTTAACATCTCCCAAAATCTCTCTCTCTCCTCTACATTCCTCTCTTCTCCAGGTGCATACACGCTTATTATGACCCACTTTTCGCATCCAACCTTTACTTTAATCCACATAATTCTTGAATTTACACATTCATATTCTCTTTTCTCCTTCCATAACTGATCATTTAACATTACTGCTACCCCTTCCTTTGCTCTAACTCTCTCAGATACTCCAGATTTAATCCCATTTATTTCCCCCCACTGAAACTCCCCTACTCCCTTCAGCTTTGTTTCGCTTAGGGCCAGGACATCCAACTTCTTTTCATTCATAACATCAGCAATCATCTGTTTCTTGTCATCCGCACTACATCCACGCACATTTAAGCATCCCAGTTTTATAAAGTTTTTCTTCTCTTTTTTAGTAAATGTCTACAGGAGAAGGGGTTACTAGCCCATTGCTCCCGACATTTTAGTCGCCTCATACGACACGCATGGCTTACGGAGGAAAGATTCTTTTCCACTTCCCCATGGACAATAGAAGAAATAAAGAAGAACAAGAGCTATTTAGAAAAAGGAGAAAAACCTAGATGTATGTATATATATATGCATGTGCGTGTCTGTGAAGTGTGACCAAAGTGTAAGTAGGATTAGCAAGATATCCCTGTTATCTAGCGTGTTTATGAGACAGAAAAAGAAACCAGGAATCCTACCATCATGCAAAACAGTTACAGGTTTCTGTTTCACAGTCATCTGGCAGGACGGTAGTACTTCCCTGGGTGGTTGCTGTCTACCAACCTACTACCTACTACATACAGTTTTCATATCAAACCTGTAGGTTGTGAATTTTTTTTACTAGATTACAAGACCCTTCATATATAAGTATGGCCTTTTTCATAAGTGAATGACAATTACTGTATTCCAATAAATGAATGAAGGTATAGTAATTGAAAAGTGAATGGAAATAATAAGACAGCTCTATGTTAACAGGTTTTGGAAGGTCGAGCCACAGGAATATTCAGTGACCACACCAAAGGTGATTCTCCTATCACTTCTACAGTAACACCCAATACTTCATGTCGAAGTCAGACCTTGGTTGCTGTGAAGGTCCTACGTGAAGATGCCACCCCAACAGAACAGATGTACTTTCTCAATGAGTTGAAACCTTATCGTGATTTGTCACATCCAAATGTTCTGAAAGTTTTGGCACATTGTTTAGAAACAGAACCACTGTTAATATTAATGCAGTTATGTCCTAGGGTAAGTTATGAGATGTACCATAAGCTTATTTCTTACTTATGTGCTATCATACTCTAAACTTTCCCAAAATGATCAAGTTTTTATATCCTTATTCATTTTCCTAATGTAATATGCTGTATACGTCTCATATAGTCGGACTTGAGTCCTGGAAATGGGAAGTACAATGCCTGCACTTTAAAGGAGGGGTTTGGGATATTGGCGGTTTGGAGGGATATGTTGTGTATCTTTATATGTGTATGCTTCTAAACTGTTGTATTCTGAGCACCTCTGCAAAAACAGTGATAATGTGTGAGTGTGGTGAAAGTGTTGAATGATGATGAAAGTATTTTCTTTTTGGGGATTTTCTTAATTTTTTTGGGTCACCCTGCCTCGGTGGGAGACTGCCAACTTGTTGAAAAAAAAAAAATCTTTCCATATCTTTGTGCAAATAAAATATAAGGTGTAAAAATCAGTTGTCAGTGGAAAGTATTTTTTAACTACACTAGTCACCATCCACCAAGGTTGGGTGACTCCTTCCCCCCCTCCCCCCCCCCAAAAAATGCCTTTTGCCATTATTGATTCAATGGTTCTTCTTACCAGAGGTGAGCAGACATCATAATTCAAATGCCCCTTCAAACTGCAACATTCCCACTCCTTGAGAGTGCAGATACTGTACCTTCCACCTCTAGGACTCAATCCTTGCCAACTGGTTTCTCTGAATCCCTTTAAAAAGAAGTCTTGCTCACCCTACAGCATGTCAAGCCATAAAAACTACTTGTCTCGCTTGCCTTCTGGATGCTCAGATCCCTGCCACTCAAAACTTTATTTACTCCTTCCCTCTAACTTTTTCTGGGATGACCCCTGCACCTCCTTTCTTTAGCCCCAGATTTGTACTTACTGTACATCCTCTTCGTCTTATTCTGCTATGTCCTATCTAAATGGCAAACAATCTAAACAGTCCCTCCTCCACTCCTTGCCTTAATAATACATTCCATAAGCATGGATATATCAAATTATGTGCAAAATTTAGGTACTATGGACTTCAAAATTTTTACTTACTCACCTAATTGTACTCGCCTAATTGTGGTTGCAGGGGTCGAGACTCAGCTCCAGGCCCCACCTCTTCACTGATCGCTACTAGGTCCTATCTCTCTGCTTCCTGAGCTTTGTCATACCTTGTCTTAAAGCTATGTATGGTTCCTGCCTCCACTACATCACTTGCTAGGCTATTCCACTTCCTGACGACTCTGTGACTGAAGAAGTGTACAGTGGACCCCCGCATAACGATATTAATCCGTTCCTGAGAGCTCATTCTTATGCGAAATTATCGTTATGCGAATGAATTTTCCCCATAAGAAATAATGGAAATCAAATTAATCCGTGCAAGACACCCCAAAGTATGAAAAAAAAAATTTTTTACCACGTGAAATATTAATTTTAATACACACAAACTTAAGAAAACATGCACAGTTACATGACACTTACCTTTATTGATGATCTGGTGATGATTGATGGGATGGGAGGAGGAGAGAGTCTTAGTGTTTAGAAGGGGAATCCCCTTCCATTAAGACTTGAGGTGTCAAGTCCTTTTCCGGGGTTACTTCCCTTCTTCTTTTAATGCCACTAGGACCAGCTTCAGAGTCACTGGACTTCTGTCGCACAACATATCTGTCCATAGAGGCCTGTACCTCCCGTTCCTTTATGACTTTCCTAAAGTGGTTCACAACATTGTCAGTGTAATAGTCACCAGCACAGCTTGCAATAGCTGTGTTAGGGTGATTGTCATCAAAAAAGGTTTGCACTTTAAGCCACATTCCACACATTTCCTTAATCTTTGAAGTAGGCAACTTCTTCAATTTCTCTCTCCCCTCCTCCGAACCAGTTTCCTCAGGTGTGGCCTCATGCTGATGAAGATGATCTAGCAGCTCATCTGTGGTTAGTTCTTCATTGTCCTCCTCCACCAACTCTTCCACATCATCCCCACTAACCTCCAACCCCAAAGACTTTCCCAATGCCACAATGGATTCCTCAACTGGCATAGGATTCCCAGGGTTAGCCTCAAACCCTTCAAAATCCCTTTGGTCTACACATTCTGGCCACAGTTTCTTCCAAGCAGAGTTCAAGGTCCTCTTAGTTACTCCCTCCCAAGCCTTACCTATAAGGTTTACACAATTGAGGATATTAAAGTGATCTCTCCAAAACTCTCTTCGAGTCAGTTGAGTTTCTGAGGTCACTACAAAGCACCTTTCAAACAGAGCTTTTGTGTACAGTTTTTTGAAGTTTGCAATAACCTGCTGGTCCATGGGCTGCAGGAGAGGAGTGGTATTAGGAGGCAAAAACTTCACCTTAATGAAGCTCATGTCCCCACAAAGTCGCTCTGCCACGTCTGTAGGATGACCAGGGGCATTGTCTAACACCAGGAGGCACTTAAGGTCTAATTTCTTTTCGGTTAGGTAATTTTTCACATTGGGGGCAAATGCTTGGTGTAACCAGTCATAGAAAAAGTCCCTAGTGACCCATGCCTTACTGTTTGCCCTCCACAGCACACACAAATTAGCCTTGAGGATATTCTTTTCCTGAACGTTCTGGGAGTTTCAGAGTGATACACTAATAAAGGCTTCACTTTGCAATCACCACTAGCATTGGAACACATGAGAAGAGTAAGCCTGTCTTTCATAGGCTTATGTCCTGGGAGTGCCTTTTCCTCCTGAGTAATGTAGGTCCTGCTTGGCATTCTCTTCCAAAACTGGCCTGTTTCATCACAATTAAACACTTGTTCAGGTTTCAGTCCTTCACTGTCTATGTACTTCTTGAATTCCTGCACATATTTTTCAGCTGCTTTGTGATCCGAACTGGCAGCCTCACCATGCCTTATCACACTATGTATGCCACTACGCGTCTTAAATCTCTCAAACCAACCTTTGCTGGCCTTAAATTCACTCACATCATCACTAGTTGCAGGCATTTTTTTAATTAAATCCTCATGCAACTTCCTAGTCTTTTCACTTATGATCACTTGAGAGATGCTATCTCCTGCTATCTGTTTTTCATTTATCCACATCAATAAGAGTCTCTCAACATCTTCTATCACTTGCGATCTCAGTTTCAAAAACACAGTTGAACCTTTGGCAAGAACAGCTTCCTTGATTGCCGTTTTGTTGGACACAATAGTAGCGATGGTTGATTGGGGTTTACTATACAACCTGGCCAGCTCGGAGACACGCACTCCACTTTCATACTTAGCAATGATCTCTTTCTTCATCTCTATAGTAATTCTCACCCTTATTCCTGTAGGGTTGGCACTAGAAGCTTTCTTGGGGCCCATGGTCACTTATTTTGCAGATAAAATCACCAAAAACACTAATAATACGAAATGTTCCGATTGTATGCTTGGATGTTACTGCGGAGGCTGGCTGGTAAACAATACCACCGGCGGAACATGTGAGGCTGGCTCAGGCCGCACATTAGACGCGTCTTGGACGAATAGCGTTGAGCGGGTTTTTTAGTGGTATGCGAGGCAAAATCTTAGCGATAAAATGTATCGGTATGCGGATTTAACGTTATGTGATGCCAACGGTATGCGGGGGTCCACTGTACTTCCTAACATCCCTTTGACTCGTCTGAGTCTTCAGCTTCCAATTGTGACCCCTTGTTTCTGTGTTCCCTCTCTGGAACATCCTGTCTCTGTCCACCTTGTCTATTCCACGCATTATTTTGTATGTTGTTCTCATGTATCCCCTGACCCTCCTGTCCTCTAATGTTGTCAGTCCGATTTCCCTCAACCTTTCTTTGCAGGACATTACCCTGAGCTCCGGAACTAGCCTTGTTGCAAACCTTTGTACTTTCTCTAATTTCTTGACGTGCTTGACCAGGTGTTGGTTCCAAACTGGTGCTGCATACTCCAGTATGGGAGTGACGTACACAGTGTACAGTGTCTTGAACGATTCCTTACTAAGGTATCAGAACGCTATTCTCAGGTTTGCCAGGCGCCCATGTGCTGCAGCAGTTACCTGGTTGATGTGTGCCTCCGGAGACGTGCTCGCTGTTATGGTCACCCCAAGATCTTTCTCCTTGAGTGAGGTTTGCAGCCTTTGTCCACCTAGCCTATACTCTGTCTGCGGTCTTCTTTGCCCTTCCCCAATCTTCATGACTTTGCATTTGGCAGGGTTGAAATCGAAAAGCCAGTTGCTGGACCACATGTCCAGCCTATCTAGGTCTCTTAGTAGTCCTGCCTGATCCTCATCTTATTTAATCCTTCTCATTAGCTTCACATCATCTGCGAACAGGGACACTTCAGAGTCTATCCCTTCCACCATGCCATTCACATACATCAGAAACAGCACTGGTCCTAGGACTGACCCTTGTGGGACCCCACTCGTCACAGGAGCCCACTGTGATACCTCATCACATACCATGACCCGTTGTTGCCTCCCTGTCAGGTATTCTCTGATCCATTGCAGTGCCCTTCGCGTTATACGTGCCTGATCCTCCAGCTTCTGCACTAATCTCCTGTGAGGAACTGTGTCGAAGGCCTTCCTGCAGTCTGGGAAAATGCAATCAGCCCACCCCTCTCTCTCGTGTCTTACTTCTGTTACCTTGTCATAAAACTCTAGAAGGTTTGTGACACAGGATTTGCCTTCCATGAATCCGTGGTTGTTGGCGTTTATACTCGTTCCGTTCCAGGTGCTCCGCCACTCTCCTGATAATCTTCTCCATAACTTTGCATACTATACACATCATTGACACAGGTCTGTAGTTTAGTGCCTCTTACATTTGCCATCTTCCATACCTCGGGTAGTTGCCAAGTTTCAAGGGATGTATTGAAGATTGTGGTTAGTGGCATGCACAGCGTCTCTGCTCCTTCTTTAAGGACTCACAGGGAGATACTGTCTGGACCCCTGTGCCTTTGAGGTATCGAGGTCACTTAGCTGCTTCTGCACCTCCTCCTCTGATGTTTGTATGTCATCCAGCACCTGTTGGTATGTTCCCTGTTGGTGTTCCCCTCTATCCTGTCTTCTCGGAGCCATTCCTGTCTCTACTGTAATTTTTTTTTTTTTCAACAAGTCAGCCGTCCCCCACCGAGGTAGGGTGACCCAAAAAGAAAGAAAATCCCCAATAAGAAAATACGTACTTTCATCATCATTCAACACTTTCACCTCACTCACACATAATCACTGTTTTTGCAGAGGTGCCCAGAATACAACAATTTAGAAGTATATACATATTAAAATACACAGTATATCCCTCCAAACTGCCAATATCCCAAACCCCTCCTTTAAAGTGCAGGCATTGTACTTCCCATTTCCAGGACTTGAGTCCGGTTATATAAAATAACCGGTTTCCTTGAATCCCTTCACTAAATATTACCCTGCTAACACTCCAACAGCTCGTCAGGTCCCAAATACCATTCGTCTCCATTCACTCCTATCTAACACGCTCATGCACGCTTGCTGGAAGTCCAAACCCCTCGCCCACAACACCTCCTTTACCCCCTCCCTCCAACATTTTTGAGGACCACCCCTACCCCTCCTTCCTTCCTCTACAGATTTATATGCTCTCCATGTCATTCTACTTTGATCCATTCTCTCTAAATGACCAAACCACCTCAACAAACCCTCTTCAGCCCTCTGACTAATACTTTTATTAACTCCACACATTCTCGTAATTTCCACACTCCGAATTTTCTGCATAATATTTACACCACACATTGCCCTTAAACAGGACATCTCCACTGCCTCCAACTACCTCCTCACTGCAGCATTTACAACCCAAGCTTCACACCCATATAAGAGAGTTGGTACTACTATACTTTCATACAATCCCTTCTTTGCCTCCATAGATAACATTTTTTGCCTCCTTATATACCTCAATGCACCACTCACCTTTTTTCCTTCATCAGTTCTATGATTAACCTCATCCTTCATAAATCCATTCGCTGACATGTCAACCCCCAAATATCTGAAAACATTCACTTCTTCCATACTCCTCCCCAATTTGATATCCAATTTTTCTTTATCTAAATCATATGATATTCTCATCACCTTACTCTTTTCTATGTTCACTTTCAACTTTCTACCTTTACATACACTTCCAAATTTGTCCACCAACCTTTGCAATTTTTCTTTAGAATCTCCCATAAGCACAGTATCATCTGCAAAATGTAACTGTGTCTCTTCCCATTTTGTATTTAATTCCCCATAATTTAATCCCACCCCTCTCCCGAACACCCTAGCATTTACTTCCTCTCCACTGAAACTCAGCCACCCCCTTCAGCTTTGTTTCACTTAAAGCCAGGACATCCAGCTTCTTCTCATTCATAACATCCACAATCATCTCTTTCTTATCATTTGCACAACATCCATGCACATTCAGACTTCCCACTTTGACAATTTTCTTCTTATTCTTTTTAGTAATTTTTACAGGAAAAGGGATTACTAGCCCATTGTACCCGGCATTTTAGTTGACTTTTACAACACGCATGGCTTACGGAGGAAAGATTCTTATTCCACTTCCCCATGGATATAAAAGGAAAAATAATAAGAACAAGAACTAAGATAAAATCAAAGAAAACTCAGATGAGTGTGTATAAATAAACATGTACATGTATGTTTAGTGTGACCTAAGTGTAAGTAGAAGTAGTAAGATGCACCTGTAATCTTGCATATTTATGAGACAGACAAAAGACACCAGCAATCCTACTCTCATGTAAAACAATTACAGGCTTTCGTTTTACACTCGCTTGGCAGGATGGTAGTACTTCCCTGGGTGGTTGAGCTCCTCTCATACCTTGTGATCGTTACTTGTGAGTTCCCCACCTTCTTTCATCAGCTTGATCACCTGGTCTTTGTTGTCTTCCTCCTGATGTGGCTGTACAGCAGTTTTAGGTCAAACTTGACTTTCGATGCTATGTTATTTTCATACTGTTGCTGGGCCTCCCTCCTTACCTGTGCATACTCATTCCTGGCTCTTCCACTAATCTCCTTATTTTTTTTTATTGTGTTCTTCGCCTTCTATGCTTTTTCCATTCTCTATTGCACTTGGTTTTTGCCTCCTTACCAGGGGCTCTTTCTGGTCTACCCATTATTTCTGTTGCCTTTGGAAACAAACCTTTCCTCTGCCTCCTTACATTTTGTTATGTCTTCCATTTCATTTACCGACTTTTCTACCAGTTCTTTGTTGCACTGAACCTCTTGCAGGAAGTTCCTCAAACCTATGTAGTCTCCCTGTTTATAGTCTGGCTTTTCCCATTCAACTCCTGTTACCCTCTCCACTTGTAACTCTATGTATTCAAAGCACAGAACCACATTGTCATTAGCTCCTAGGGGCCTCTCATATGTGATGTCCTCAATGTCTGAACTGCTCAGGGTGAACACAAGGTCCAGTCTTGCTGGTTCATTCTCCCCTCTCTCTCTGGTAGTATCCTTAACATGTTGATGCATGAGGTTCTCCAGTACCACATCCATCATCTTGGCTCTCCATGTTTCAGGACCCCAGTGTGGTTCCAGGTTTTCTCAATTGATCTCCCTGTGATTAAAATCACCCATAACCAGTAACTTTGCTCTGCTCAAGTGAGCTCTTCTTGCCACCTCAGCCAGTGTGTCCACCATTGCTCTGTTACTCTCTTCATATTCCTCTCTTGGCCTCCTGCAGTTCTGTAGTGGATTATACATCACTGCAATGACCACCTTGTGCTCCCCAGACTGAAGTGTACCTACTATGTATTCTCTTTCTCCAAAAATAAATAAATACTCTTTCTCCAATCTCGTCCATGCCTCCCATTTCCTCAAATTTCCATCGGTATTTGACGAGCAGTGCAACCCCTCCTCCCCCTATGCTCCTTCTGTCTTTCCTCAGGATCTGATATCCTGGTGGGAAGATTGCATCTGTTATTGTCTCAGTGAGTTTCGTTTCTATGACTGCTTTGATGTCTGGGGACTTCTCATTGATTCTTTCATGCCACCCCTCATATTTGTTCGTTATTCCATCCGCATTCGTGTACCAAACCTTCAACTTCTGTTCCAAAACTGTGGTCCTGGGAGGATATTAGGGTTGGGAGAGCAGGAGCCCTGGCGGGGGCCTATGGGGGGTTGTGGTGGGGGGTAGAGTTCCCATAGGGGGTTGCTGTAGGGTTGGGGTTTGTGGTGTGGGGGGTGGGGACAGTGGGATTGGTGTGTGATTGTTGGCTTAGATTGTTCAGTTGTCTTGGGGTTGTTGTGGGTGTTTCTGGGGGGGGTGTTTGCCCTTCCACCTGTCTGGGTTATTCTGCTTCATTGTCCCTTACTGATCCAAGTTGGGCCTAAGGACTGAGTGTTTGTAGAGGCACAGCCTCCCTTCCTCACTGCCACCTTGCTGCCTACAGTTGCTTTCTGGAAGCTTTGCATTCCTTGCTCACGGTGTTTATTAAAAGATTTTGGATCTTTTATCACCCTGTCCCATTGCTAGATATTAAACGTAGCACCTGAAAGGAATATTAGTGATATATAGGAGGTGCCAGGAAGAAAAATGAAGTTTAAAGCTTCGACTCTAGTAGAGGGGAAACTTTGTTTGTTATGAGGTGGTTTACGTTTTATACAGATTTCTTGTGCTTTTTGTCTGAAAGAATTCATACTGCAAGAGTTACATGAGGAATTCCATGTTATTGGTTAAGTTGCAGCTTTTATTTTTTTTAAATGAAGGCATTCCTGACACTCATAGAAGCATTCCTCTGGAGTAGAATCTGGAGAAATTAATTCTGCCTTATTGTCATCTCTGTAAAGTACTGCAGGGTAAAAGAGACCAGAGAGGCTTTACAGAATGCTTGAGCTCTCCAGTACAATTATCTACTGACAACTCTGCATCTACATCAACACAAGAACTAGTTATCAACATCACACAAAAACCCAGCTATCCACCTGAGCTAAGTAGGATCTCATCAACTCTCCACACTTTCATGTCAACAAGCAGCAACAACCAGGCTGTAAAATGAATATACTTAGTAGAGTATTAAAAGCCTCACTTAGCAGATTTGGAGGACCTGTAACATAAACCTATTTCCCCCCCTCCCCTGTGTTCTTCAAATCACTTAATGCTAATTTCAGTAGGGGACTGATTTTTCAAGAACATTCCCCATGCATTACATGAGGGTTTTGCTGTACATATTCACATCATGTATTGCACTCAAACATGACATCACTGCCTCTAGGTGCCTGCTCACTGCAATATTTAAAACTTATACTTCACACCCACATAAGTGCTGGTGCCACTATTCTCTTTGAACATTATCCTTGTTTGACTCCAAAGATAAACTTCTTTCTTTTCACAGACTCCTTAACAACCCACCTACCATTTTTCCCTCTCATCTATTTTATGGGCAAGTTGATTCAGAAACAACATACAAAACTCTGTTTACAGAGTTGTCCATTAGCATTACTATCACAGCAGACAATCTCATCTGTATCTGCCACAGTTACCATTACTGCCTCTTCCCCTCCCTCACTCTCCCCAGTTAGTTTTGTAAATGAAAGGTTTACTGTATTTCTTTGTTTCTTTGATTTTCCACTGCTATTCCTTGTTTCTTCTTATTTCTTTACCCTTCTAACTTTTAATTCTCTAATTAATGTGTACATGTTTAGGTACAGTTTACTCTTTTCATAGATCTATATTGTATATGGTACTACTATATTATGTTTGTACTACAGTACTACTATATTATGTTTGTTTTTGTTTTTAACTTATGATAGCAAAATTAAATACCAATTTTTGTTAGTAAATATCTCTTGTTTTGCTATTAATTTTGTCAGTTTTTAATTATTAACTTCATTGTTATTAACATTTCTCATCAAAATTTCAGGGGGATCTGAAGGCTGTGGTGAAACATGACAAGGGTCTCTCAGAATCAGCATTACTGCATATGATCGTAGATGTTGCATCTGGACTCATGCACATGCATTCTTATTCCTTCATCCATACGTGAGTTGTACCTCTATCTTCATTGTGTTTTTTTGCTACTTTACTGTACATGTTTGTTTTTTCTTGAACAAACCGGCTGTATCCCATGGACGCAGGGTGACCCAAAAAGAAAAACAAAAGTTTCTCTTTAAATTTAGTAATGTATACAGGAGAAGGGGTTACTAGCCTCTTGCTCCCAGCATTTTAATCACCTCTTATGACACGCATGGCTTATGGAGGAAGAATTCTGTTCCACTTCCCCATGGAGATAAGAGGAAATAAACAAGAACAAGAACTAATAAAAAATAGAAGAATACCTAGATGGGTATGTACATGTATATATATGCTGTTCATGCATGGGTAGTGTGACCTAAGTGTAAGTAGGAGTAGCAAGAAGTATCTGGTATCCTGCATGTTGGAGACAAAAAAAAAAAAAAGACTAGTAATCCTACCATCATATATAATAATTATAGTTTTCCCTTTCACACTCGCTTGACAGGACAGTAGTACCTCCCTGGGCAGTTGCTGTCTACCAACCTACTACCTAGAAGTATTATATGTATGTACTTGACTTGGGTTTCTCTGACACACTCAAAGGATTTTTTTTAAGAATATTGTAGAAATAACAAGCAGCAGCACAGTCCAGGAACAGGCATTGTGGTAGGTAAGTGGCAGAAACTAAAGCAGGAAGCAGGAAGATGGAGTGTGTGATCCAAAAATAAGAAACTTCATGGATAATCAGCATTATGGGAATCATTGCAATGTGAGGACTATCCTATCTGCTATGACCTTTTATTTGATTGGTACAAAGAAAGCCACTATCATGCCGAGGCACTTTGGGCAGACTTAACCTAATACTTAAAGACTACTTAAGTCTAGACAGGTGAAGAGTGGTAGATTACAAATGTTCAGTATCTTACTCTGTTATTAAAATGAGGCAGTACAATTTATGATACAAACATACATTTTTAAGTTTGTAATAATGGCTTAATAGTTAAGGGATAATAAAATATTTGGGAGAGTTGCTTTAAATTTGGTTCGTTTAATATAGTATGTGTATGGTTGTTATTGAGAGAGGAGATGATTTATGGGCAGGGGACCTCTTGCTGTTTCGAGCAGAAAGTTCCAGATATTCGAGCTCTTAACCCTTTGACTATTTTGGTCATATATATACGTCTTACGAGCCATCGTTTTTGACGTATATATAGGTCTCCCTCAACATTTGCGTTTTCAACTTTCGCGGGCTTCACACATTCGCGAATTCCCAACCGCCAAATTCCCAGCCTCCAAATTCCCAGCCACCAAATCATATTTAAGTTTCCCGCCACCTGCGAGTCCCTACTACCCTCCCACCGACCCCCGCAACTGGCAGCCAGCCCTCCCACCACTCAGTGTGGCGAGTGTTTTGTTTCTTCATTATTTGCTATTAAACTACAGTATAAATAATGTAAACACATTCATGACTGCATATTGGAATGGCTATTTGGAGAGGTATTGGATGGTGACATCATGTGTTTACTCTTGAACACAGCAAAGAATCAAACATTTCTGCTACTGCTAATAATAACAATAGTAATAATAATAATAATAATAATAATAATAATAATAATAATAAATGCGATAGAAAGAAGAAGGAAACTGTACAAAAATACGAGGGAGTGGTTGACACATTGTCAGTGTGACTTTGTTTATGCTGGAGTGAACATTCGTCTCCCTGCTCTTCCAAACATTTCACAATAAGTCATTGTGTTTGGTGCTTGTAGATTGAGTGTGACTGGAGTGGTTGAGGAAGCAGTTGAGGCAGTGGTTGAGGCAGTGGTTGAGGCAGTGGTTGAGGCAGTGGTTGAGGCAGTGGTTGAGGCAGTGGTTGAGGCAGTGGTTGAGGCAGTGGTTGAGGCAGTGGTTGAGGCAGTGGTTGAGGCAGTGGTTGAGGCAGTGGTTGAGGCAGCGGTTGAGGCAGCGGTTGAGGCAGTGGTTGAGGCAGTGGTTGAGGCAGTGGTTGAGGCAGTGGTTGAGGCAGTGGTTGAGGCAGTGGTTGAGGCAGTGGGTTGAGGCAGTGGTTGAGGCAGTGGTTGAGGCAGTGGTTGAGGCAGTGGTTGAGGCAGTGGTTGAGGCAGTGGTTGAGGCAGTGGTTGAGGCAGTGGTTGAGGCAGTGGTTGAGGCAGTGGTTGAGCAGTGTTGAGGCAGTGGGTTGAGGCAGTGGTTGAGGCAGCGGTTGAGGCAGTGGGTGAGGCAGCGGTTGAGGCAGCGGTTTGAGGCAGCGGTTGAGGAGCGGTTGAGGCAGCGGTTGAGGCAGTGGTTGAGGCAGTGGTTGAGGCAGTGGTTGAGGCAGTGGGTGAGGCAGTGGGCGAGGCAGCAGTTGAGGCAGTGGTTGAGGCAGTGGGTGAGGCAGTGGGTGAGACAGCGGTTGAGGCAGTGGGTGAGGCAGTGGGCAAGGCAGTGGTATTTAATAACATGTAATAATAATAATAATATAATAATAAATGTTAATAATATGTACGTATTATTATTCATGTTATAACCCTGCCTCAACCACTGCCTCAACCGCTGCCTCTACCAGTGCCTCAACCGCTGCCTCACCCACTGCCTCAACCGCTTGCCTCACCCACTTACCGTCACACTCAACCGCTGCCTCACACCATGCACTCAACCGCTGCTCAACCCACTGCTTGCAAACCGCTGCCTCACCCACTGCCTCAACCACTGCTTCAACGACTGCTTCAACCACTGCCTCACCCTGCCTACAACCTGCCTCAATCTCCATGCCCATATCTACTGACCTCATATTATTATGTTACAACACACTGCCTCCACCCACTGCCACAAGCCTCAAGTTCAACCACTCCCCTATTACAAGCACCAAACACATATTATTAATTTTACACACTATTTCATCACATCCCCACTCCACTCCGATTCTTTGTAACAATTTTTCTTCAATTCTATCGCATTTATTATTATTATTATATTATTATTATTATTATTTTATTATTACAGTGCGAAGAGTTTTATCATCTTATTTCCGTTTTATAAAACTGCAACATTAACTACCCTCCAATATTATATTATATAATTTTATATTATTTATTGTTATTATTAGCAGTAGCAAAAATGTTTGGATTCTTGCTGTGGGTTCAGAGGTAAACACATGATGTCACCGTCAATACTGTCGCAAATAGCCATTCGACTATGCAGTCATAATGTGTTATATTATTTATACTGTAGTTTAATAGCAAATAATGAACAAACAAAACACTCGCCACACGAGTAGTGGGAGGGGCTGGCTGCCAGTGCGGGGGTCGGAGGGAGGGTAGTAGGACTCCAGTGGTTGAGGAAGTGGTGGGGGCATTGGTGGAGGCAGTGGTGGAGGCAGTGGTATTTAATTATATACATGTTATTAAACCATAACATGTATGTATTTAGTACAATTTATGACGTTTTCATGTATTTTATGATTGTTCATGGTTCAACAAGTTAAGGAAGCAGTATTGTATTATATTTCCCTACAATGTTTTGGGGCACCAAACATGGCACCAAACATTCGCGAGGCTCTTGATCCCCTAACCCTCGCGAATGTTGAGGGAGACCTGTATACTCATAAATTCTAGTGGCTTCAAATCAAGCAGGAGAAAACTGGTAGGCCAACATGTGAGAGAATGGGTCTGTGTGGTCAGTGTGCACCATATTAAAAAAAATCCTGCAGCACGCAGTGCATGATGAGAAGAAAAAAAAACTCCGACCGTTTTTTTTTAATTAAAATGCCGAATTTGTGGTCTATTTTCTTGTAGTATTTATGGTTGTATTCTCGTTTTCTTGGTCTCATTTGATAGAATGGAAAACATATTTTAGAATTAGAGGTGATTTTGATTGGTTTTACTATGAAAAGAACCTTGAAATGGAGCTCAGATTAGGGGAAATGTTTGATTTTTGCCAATGTTCAAAAGTAAACAAATGATGTCATTTTTTCCAATAAATGTCCAAGTAGCCAATCTAATATGCAGTCATGAATGGGTTGACATTATTTATACAATTATTACAATATTGCAGTAGTCTGCATAACAGTAAATCTTCTATACAGTGGACCCCCGGTTAACGATATTTTTTCACTCCAGAAGTATGTTCAGGTGCCAGTACTGACTGAATTTGTTCCCATAAGGAATATTGTGAAGTAGATTAGTCCATTTCAGACCCCCAAACATACATGTACAAACGCACTTACATAAATACACTTACATAATTGGTCGCATTCGGAGGTGATCGTTATGCGGGGGTCCACTGTATTTTGTTTGAATAAAAATTCAAAATAGAAAGCAAGAGTAATATCAAAGGGGCCTGGAGACATGACTGATGAACAAAGAAAATGTTATTTTAGAGCCAGGAATGTCTGTATTGTTCATTCTGGACCCTATTTTGAAATTGTCATATTTTTTAATTTTCATGAAATTGGCCAAATTGCAAATTTCTGACCACGTTATTGGGTAGTTGAAATTAGTAAATGGGCAGTTTCTTGAACTCAATCGATAGAACAAATGGAGTTCTAAAGAAATAGCTATGAGTTTGGTCGATTGGAATACTGGAATTAGCCAAAAATAGGGCTCAAAGTGGGCGAAATCACCGATTCGTAAATATCCCCAAGGTCGCTAATTTCGCGAGAGCGTAATTCCGTCAGTTTTCCATCAAATTTCGTTCTTTTGGTGTCATTACAATCGAGAAAAGATTCTCTATCATTTCATAAGAAAAAATAATTTTTTTTTTTTTAAATTTTGCGACACCAGGAGACACCTCAGGATTTGGGGTTGCGACAGTCAAGGGGTTAATGTGCCTTGTGTTATACCTGTGTGTTCTGTTGACACTGTCTAGGTGAACTTTGAGTGGAAAGTTGATATTGGAGTCTAATGTTTTGTATATATAGTAGGCACAATAATAAGTGTGTATATTTTGTATATTAAGTATGTTCAAGCTTTTGAAGAGTGGTGGGGTGTGTTGTCTGGCACAGGAGTTTGTGATCATCTGCACCAACACCGTTTGATCCACTTTAATATGTCTTTCAATTTCCATACTCTACCCCATCTCGTATTTTTGTATGTATACACATGAGGGTTTTCAATTTGTCTGAGTAATTAATTTCTTAAGAAAACAGTTGCTTAATATACTGTATATCATAAAAACTCACACATAGGAGAGAGAAACGCTTATGACAATGTATCGGTCCGACTTGGACCATTCACAAGTTGGCTTTTGTCTCTCCTATGTGCGGGTTATTTGTGTATTGTTCCAGTCACAGTTTTGTGCCTTTTTGTTCTTTACTGTACATCATTTATACCATAATGTGATTTATTTATGCACTTCTTTCTCACTATTAAAGGGACCTCGCTGCAAGAAACTGCGTGGTCGATGAAGATTATACGGTGAAAATTGGGGATTATGGTAATAACCTAGAATTTTACAAAGTAAGTTAAACTTGGTAGCTATGTTTTTGGTATGATTTTGCTTTGTTAATGAGCTTTGATTTCTTAGAAATACAGCTTACTGTATTATTCACTGGCATTCATATTATTCTGAGGCCATTTGTTCTCCAATTTCTTGAATATGTTTGTGCTTTTAATTTGCTTAAGAAAAAATATGAATAATAAAATGTATATGACTAATGAGATGGGAGGTCTGTTAAATTTGATCTTTTGTTAATTACAGATGATATGGTTTTTCAACGATTCTAATAATAACAAACAATTTTGGACTTAATGTAGTGTGTTCATTAAATCTCTAAATAAAATATCCAGCAGACTGAAACAGTATTGATCAGTTTTATTTGATAGATTTCATCCATCAAATCTGAAAACAGTTTCCCAATTGAGCTTTAACAGTAACCAATAATTCTGGATTTACTGGACTTTGTCCATTGTCTCTAAATGTATTTTGGCCACAGATTCTGTTCATTAACCCTTTGACTGTTTCGGTCGTATATATACATCTTACGAGCCAATATGTTTGACTTATATGTACTCAAGATTCTAGTAGCTTCAAATCAAGCAGGAGAAAGCTGGTAGGCCCACATGTGAGAGAATGGGTCTGTGTGGTCGGTGTGCCCCATATAAAAAAAATCCTGCGGCACGCAGTGCACAATGAGAAAAAAAACTCCAACTGTGTTTTTGGATTAAAACACTGACTTTGAGGTGTATTTTCGTATAGTTTTTATGGTTATACGTATTCTCGTTTTTGTAGTCACATTTGATAGAATGGAAAACATTATACAAATATAGGTGATTCTGATTGGTTTTACTGTGAAAAGGACCTTGAAGTGGAGCTCAGGGTAGAGGAAATGTTTGATTTTTGCAGATGTTCAAGAGTAAACAAATGTCATTGTCCAATAAATGTCCAACTAGCCATTCTAATATGCAGTCATGAATGGATTGATGTTATTTATACAATTATAACACTATTGCAGTAGTCTGCATAACAGTAAATCTTCTATTTTTTGTTTGAATAAAAATTCAAAATAGAAAGCAAGAGTAATATCAGAGGGGCCTGGAGACATGACTGATGAACAAAGAAAATGTTATTTTAGAGCCAGAAATGTCTGCATTGTTCATTCTGGACCCTGTTTTGAAATTGGCTTTTTTAATTTTCATGAAATTGGCCAAATTGCAAATTTCTGACCACTTTATTGGGTAGTTGAAATTAGTAAATGGGCAGTTTCTTGAACTCAATCGATAGAACAAATGGAGTTCTAAAGAAATAGCTACGAGTTTGGTCAACTGAAACAATGGAATTAGCCGAAAACAGGGCTCAAAGTGGGCAAAATTTGTCAATATCGGCGCAGTCGTTAACTTCGCGAGAGTGTAATTCCATAAGTTTTCCAATCAAATTTCATACTTTTGGTGTCATTACCATCTGGAAAAAATTCTCTATCATTTCTTCTTCTTTCAGCAAACCGGCCGTATCCCACCAAGGCAGGGTGGCCCAAAAAGAAAAACAAAAGTTTCTCTTTTCAAATTTAGTAATTTATACAGGAGAAGGGGTTACTAGCCCCTTGCTCCCGGCATTTTAGTCGCTTCTTACAACATGCATGGCTTACGGAGGAAGAATTCTGTTCCACTTCCCCATGGAGATAAGAGGAAATAAACAAGAATAAGAACTATAAAGAAAATAGCAGAAAACCCAGAGGGGTGTGTATATATATGCTTGTACATGTATGTGTAGTGTGACTTAAGTGTAAGTAGAAGTAGCAAGACGTACCTGAAATCTTGCATGTTTACGAGACAGAAAAAAAGACACCAGCAACCCTACCATCATGTAAAACAATTACAGGCTTTCGTTTTACAGTCACTTGGCAGGATGGTAGTACCTCCCTGGGCAGTTACTGTCTACCAACCTACTACCTAGATCTCTTATCATTTCATAAGAAAAAAATAATTTTTTTTTTTTTTTCAAATATTTTGTGACACCAGGAGACACCTCGGGATTTGGGGTTGCGACAGTCAAAGGGTTGAATGTGAAATTCATTAACCATTTGTCTGTTGGAAGTCCCAAAATTAAAACTGTTGACAGTGTCTGGCATTTAAAAAAGAAAATCTTTTGAAATGGTAGAGAATCTTATTATGAAGGTAACGATATCAAAAATATGAAATTTGATGGAAAACTCACGGAATTAAGCAGGTAAAAATTTGGCGGTCAGAGAACAATTTACTCATGGTGATTTTGCTCCACTTTGAGTCCTATTTAAATCCAAATTTGTTGCTCAGTTTGACCAAGTTTTTAGCTATTTCTGTCAACTGGCCCATGACCAGGCTCCAAGAGTTGTGAAGCTCTTGAAACTCTTCAAAGGTTCTAAGGTAACTTAGCATGATAAAAACACCCATTCAACAATCAGAACTACCCTATAAAATGCACAGAAGTTAGTAATTTGGCAAGTTTTACACAAAAAAAACAGGCACAATACCATGACTGGAACGATACACAAATAACCTGCACATAGAAGAGAGGAGCTTACGACGACATTTTGGTCCGACTTTGTAAAGTGGTCCAAGTTTTACACAAATTTAAAAAAATCTAATTTAAAAACAGGGTCCAAAATAAATACTGTAGGAATTCCACACACTAAAGCAACATTTCCTCTGTTCATTAATCATGTCCTCAGGCTTCTTGAATCTAACTTTATACAAAGTACAAAGTTTTACTTTATTTCTTGGATAATAAATATAACCAGGAATGATTGGGCATGGTTGAGGTATCCCAATAATTGATACAGCCCTAGTAAAAACACAGCCCTCCCCAGCCTATCTATTCTTGGCAAAATCTCCAGAAAATCAAATATTTATGCTACTTTGAACCTTTTTTTTTTCAAGCTACTCCGGCCCTTAAACCAACCAAAATCACATCTATTTCGGTAGTATGTCTTCCCGTTTCTTAATTGATAAAACCATAACAATCTTTCTAGAAAGCACCTCAACGTTGCTATTTTAAGCCTAACAACACAAGATGTTTGTTTTCCTATCATGCACTACGTGGGGCAGAATTTTTTATTTTATAATGTGCACAATCACTGCACAGATGCATTCTCTTATGTCTTGACCAAAATTTACTACTCACATAATATATGAGAGTGCTGTGCTTAAAACATAGATCTGTGTGAGTGACACTGGCATCAATAACAGATCTATATAAACAGTGAAAGGGATAAATTGTGGTCCATTAAATTAAGGTTTTAGCAATAATTATTTGACTGTTTCATACACTGTGCAGCTTTTTGTTTTTAATTTTATCTTTTTTTTTTCCCTGCATGTTGTCTTAGCATTTTATGTGCAAAGACAAAGATGCATTCTTTGTGTGGTCTTATTTTCTCAGATGTTTACAGAAGTGTATTTTATTTTGAAAAATATTTTAGTAAATGTTTCAATGCTTATAATAAGTGCCATTTAATAATCTTACACAAGTGCAGAAATATTTTATTCTAAACTTGGTGGGAGACGGCCAGTATATTAAAAAAATAATGCATGGCTTTTCTGTTATAACATGTTAATTCCTTCTCTCCGTTCAGAACGAATATTACTGCGCTGGAGAGGTGGCCCTGCCATTAAGATGGTGTTCTCCAGAAACTTTAAAATGTACAGACACCACCATAGAAACAAAAGAGGTTAATTTGTTATTTTTTATTATGTTTGTCAGCACTATTTGTCATCTGTTACATGTACTCTGTATAATTTTTTATTGTGAATTATTAATTTACTTAAAATTTAAGCTAGTTCTTTTGATAATTTGATACTGTACTAAAGTTTCATTGTTTTCATACTTGAGGTAAAAATTCTGTAATACATATTATAGGTTACTAGAGCAGCAAATGTCTGGAGTTTTGGAATAATAATGTGGGAAATAGCAAGTAGAGGACAGATGCCGTACACAAACCTCGATGATGACCAAGTTATACAACAGGTCATTGTTGACCAGTCCTGTATTCTAAATTCTCTAGAGGCCCTTGAACTACATGCAGATAAACTGTGAGTATAGTACTAAACTGTTATGTGTGTATGAGATTACAGTACATACCTGTTAGTGATTACCTATTTGTAGGTACATGAATAGAGCTATGCTTATGTCTTGCATTCATTATGCGACCCTTACTATTTCGGCTTTTGGCCTGTTCCAGTAAGCCACTGTTCTTTGTGAAACATACAAAGCAGTACCCTTTTGGCATCATTTTTGTCCTCAATTCATATCAGTTTTCTTTTATTTTATTTATTTATTTATGTGCCATTGTGAGCACTGTTTTATTAGCCTTTCTTCATAATGTAATTTTATCAATTCTGAGCCTTCCCCTCCTTTTTTTTTATTTTTTAGCATGTCTGAAGTTTTTATTTACCGCATATTTTAATTTTTATTTACCATGAGTTGTAAACAGCTTTTGTAACATTTCACAATTCATACATTTTAAGGTTTGTTAGTACAGTGGACCCCCGCCTTACGATATTAATCCGTTCCTGAGAGCTCATCGTAAGCCGTAATTATCGTAAGGCGAATTAATTTTCCCCATAAGAAATAATGGAAATCAAATTAATCCGTGAAAGACACCCCAAAGTATGTAAAAAAAATTTTTTTTACCACGTGGAATATTAATTTTAATACACACAAACTGAAGAAGACATGCACAATTACTACTATACTAAGAATAGAATACATGACACTTACCTTTATTGAAGATCTGATGATGATTGATGGGATGGGAGGAGTGGAGAGTGTGGAAGTTATTGTTTAGAAGGGGAATCCCCTTCCATTAGGACTTGAGGTAGCAAGTCCTTTTCTGGGGTTACTTCCCTTCTTCTTTTAATGCCACTAGGACCAGCTTGAGAGTCACTGGACCTCTGTCACACAACAAATCTGTCCATAGAGGTCTGTACCTCCCATTCCTTTAAGATTTGCCTAAAATGGGCCACAACATTGTCATTGTAATAATCACCAGCACGGCTTGCAATAGCTGTGTTAGGGTGATTTTCATCCATAAAGGTTTGAAGTTCAACCCACTTTGCACGCATTTCCTTAATCTCTTTTTTCAATTCCATACTAATTCTCGCCCTTTTTACCACAGGAATGGCACTAGAAGCTTTCTTGGGGTCCACGGTGACTTATTTTGCAGTTACAAGTACTAAAAACACTGGGATAATGTGAAATGTACCAAATGTATGCGTAGATGCGACCGCACTGGCTGGCTTGTAAACACTGGTGCTGAGGCCACACGTGGGACGCATCCCGTATGAATCACATAAGGCGAGCTTTTTATCATGAGGCGAGGCAAAATTTTTGCGTTCAAATGCTTCGTATGGCGGATTTAATGTACTGCGATGCGTTCGTAAGGCGGGGGTCCACTGTATAGCTTAAGATTGTCATGCATTTGTATTTATGCCATCATCTGAATCCTTTGTCTAACATTTTCAGTAATATGTTTTACAACTTATATTCATGATTCATGTTTCCAGTTTCTTCCATTTCCATTTTGTGCCATTTTCACATAAAATTCTGTCAGCCATCTGATGTTCCATCTGCTCAATTAATTCAAGTCCTCATGTTGACGGTATATTCTTTATAAATGGGACTTATTTTGCACATACAGTGGACCCTTGGATATAGGCTGGTGCAGAAATCAGCCAATTCGAAAATTGAGCACTTTTTTCAGCGCAATATCCCCCAGGACATAGGCCATCTGCTTGGAAATCATTAGTATGAGACGTGTCCATCCGCTGGTGACGCGCTCCCTCACACGTATCACACTCAGTCTGCGGGTCTCTCTCGTTGGGGTAGGAATACTCCACGTGCTTGTTTATTGATTGCAACTGAAATAAGCCACCTTGGGGCCAAAGAAAGTCCCTTTGGTAAAGAAGATGAGAAACACGATAGAATTCAAGAAAGAAGTTATCGCAGAAGGTCATTTCAAACTTCAAAAAACTGTACACAAAAGCAATGTTTCAAAGGTGCTTTGAAGTGACCTTGGACACTGAATTGACCTTAAGAGAGTTCTAGAGGAATCACTTCAGTATTCTCCATTGCATAAGCATTTTTAGATAAAGCTTGGCAGGGAGTGACTTCTAGGACTTTGAACTCTGCTTGGAGAAAATTGTGGCCAGAATTTGTCCTCGACAAGGATTTTGAAGGGTTTGAGGCTAACCCTGACGACCCTATGCCTATTGTGGAATCTGTTGTTTCATTGGGGAAGTCCATGGGGATGGATGTGAGTGGCCAGGATGTGGAAGATTTGGTGGAGGACCACAGGGAAGAGCTAACCACTAAAGAGCTGCAGCACCTTCAACAGGAACAGCAATAGATTACAGCTGAGAATATTGCTTCAGAGGAGGAAGAGAGGGGGGGGAGACTGTGCCTTCTTCAGTGATTAAGGACATTTGTGCAAAGTGGAGTGAGGTGCAAAGTTTTGCAGAAAATTATCACCCTGACAAAACTGTTGCAAGCCATGTCTGCAACATGTTCAATGACAATGTCTTGTCCCATTTTAGGCAAATTTTACAGAGACTCCAGAAACAGGCCTCTCTGGGCAGATTTTTGGTGTGACAGGGGTACAGTGACTCTCAAGCTGGTCTTTGTGCCAGTAAAAAGCAAAGAAGGAAACTAACCCCAGAGAGGGACTTGATACCTGAAGTCCTTATGGCGGGGGATTCCACTTCCAAACAATAAGCTCTCCTCCCTCTCCCCTCCTTGCCTTCTTCCATATGCCAACAAGAGTCTTCAATAAAGGTATGTAATGTTCATTTATTATTAAATTTCTTTTCTTTCAACACACTGGCCGTATCCCACCGAGGCAGGGTGGCCCAAAAGAAAAACAAAAGTTTCTCTTTTTAAATTTAGTAATTTATACAGGAGAAGGGGTTACTAGCCCCTTGCTCCCGGCATTTTAGTTGCCTCTTACAACACGCGTGGCTTATGGACGAAGAATTTTGTTCCACTTCCCCATGGAGATGAGAGGAAATAAACAAGAACAAGAACTAGAAAGAAAATAGCAGAAAACCCAGAGGGGTGTGTATATATACACTTGTACATGTATGTGTAGTGTGACCTAAGTGTAAGTAGAAGTAGCAAGACGTACCTGAAATCTTGCATGTTCATGAGACAGCAATCCTACCATCATGTAAAACAATTACAGGCTTTCGTTTTACACTCACTTGGCAGGACCGTAGTACCTCCCTGGGCGGTTGCTGTCTACCAACCTACTACCTAGAAATTATTAAAATTACTGCTTTATATTTCTCTCTCATTGTTTTCTGTATGTAAAACTAGAGGTATTTTTTAATGCCCAATGTCCTGAATATTTTGAAAAACAATTTTTTTTTTTTTTTAGATTAAAATAAAAAAAAACTAAGGTCAGCACTTACCGAGATATGAGGTGCGAAGTTGGCACTTGATGCTCGCCTGAAGGCAACATCGAGTCCTGCCCTTGCAGAAGTGTTGCCGATATACCTTTTTTCTCGTTTTATATTATTTTATATAATTTTTATGTTCTGATAATTACAATTTATAATAGTTCTTGTCATTTCATAACCAATCTTTGTTTTGACACTAATATTAGGTACTGAAATTGTACTCAAATTGTCACAAATACATTGACAGGTGAACATTTACACCTGCCTTGGTTATTCACTATTGTCTAGGAATATATGCAAAGTATTTATAGGTCACAGCAATGTTTTGAATACACGGGAGTATGTAATAATAATAATATTATAGAGGAATAAGTTTACTGAGTATACCAGGAAAAGTGTACAGTAGGGTAATAATTGAAAGAATTAGAGGTAAGACAGAATGTAGGATTGCGGATGAGCAAGGAGGTTTCAGAGTGGGCAGGGGATGTGTAGATCAAGTGTTTACATTGAAGCATATATGTGAACAGTACAGTGGACCCCCGATTTACGATATTATTTCATTCCAGAAGTATGTTCAGGTGCTAGTACTGAACGAATTTGTTCCCATAAGGAATATTGTGAATTAGATTAGTCCATTTCAGACCCCCAAACCTACATGTACAAACACACCTACATAAATACACTTACATAATTGGTCGCATTGGGAGGTGATCGTAAACCGGGGGTCCACTGTATTTAGATAAAGGTAGGGAAGTTTTTATTGCATTTATGGATTTAGAAAAGGCATATGATAGAGTGGATAGGGGAGCAATGTGGCAGATGTTGCAAGTATATGGAATAGGTAGTAAGTTACTAAATGCTGTAAAGAGTTTTTATGAGAATAGTGAGGCTCAGGTTAGGGTGTGTAGATTGAGGAGACTACTTCCCGGTAAAAGTAGGTCTTAGACAGGGATGTGTAATGTCACCATGGTTGTTTAATATATTTATAGATGGGGTTGTAAAAGAAGTAAATGCTAGGGTGTTCGGGAGAGGGGTGGGATTAAATTATGGGGAATCAAATACAAAATGGGAATTGGCACAGTTACTTTTTGCTGATGATACTGTGCTTATGGGAGATTCTAAAGAAAAATTGCAAAAGTTAGTGGATGAGTTTGGGAGTGTGTGTAAAGGTAGAAAGTTGAAAGTGAACATAGAAAAGAGTAAGGTGATGAGGGTATCAAATGATTTAGATAAAGAAAAATTGGATATCAAATTGGGGAGGAGGAGTATGGAAGAAGTGAATGTTTTCAGATACTTGGGAGTTGACATGTCGGCGGATGGATTTATGAAGGATGAGGTTAATCATAGAATTGATGAGGGAAAAAAAGTGAGTGGTGCATTGAGGTATATGTGGAGTCAAAAAATGTTATCTATGGAGACAAAGAAGGGAATGTATAAAAGTATAGTAGTACCAACACACTTATATGGGTGTGAAGCTTGGGTTGTGAATGCAGCAGCGAGGAGGCAGTTGGAGGCAGTGGAGATGTCCTGTCTAAGGGCAATGTGCGGTGTAAATATTATGCAGGAAGTTCGGAGTGTGGAAATTAGGAGGTGTGGAGTTAATAAAAGTATTAGTCAGAGGGCTGAAGAGGGGTTGTTGAGGTGGTTTGGTCATTTAGAGAGAATGGATCAAAGTAGAATGACATGGAGAGCATATAAATCTGTTGGAGAAGGAAGGCGGGGTAGGGATCGTCCTCGAAAAGGTTGGAAGGAAGGGGTAAGGGAGGTTTTGTGGGCGAGGGGCTTGGACTTCCAGCAGGCATGGATGAGCGTGTTCGATAGGAGTGAATGGAGACGAATGGTATTTGGGACCAGACGATCTGTTGGAGTGTGAGCAGGGTAATATTTAGTGAAGGGATTCAGGGGAACCGGTTATTTTTATAGAGCTGGACTTGAGTCCTGGAAATTGGGAAGTACAGTGCCTGCACTCTAAAGAAGGGGTTTGGGATATTAGCAGTTTGGAGGGATATGTTGTGTATCTTTATACGTATATGCTTCTAAATTGTTGTGTTTCTGATCACCTCTGCAAAAACAGTGATTATGTGTGAGTGAGGTGAAAGTGTTGAATGATGATGAAAGTATTTTCTTTTTGGGGATTTTCTTTCTTTTTTGGGTCACCCTGCCTCGGTGGGAGTCTCAGTAGTAGTAACCAGTTACCAGTAACCAGTGTACCGTTGACTCAACGACCAACCGTCTCTGCCTGAGTCACTGTCTGAACGCTGACCTGGCACTATTCAAAGACCCTCTATGGGTACGTGGGCGGCCAGGCAGTCAGTGTTACGAACGGCCGACGTTGAAAAAAAAAAATAATAATAACAATAATAAGAAGAAATTCCCTTGAAGCATGATGTAAGACAAGTGTCAATGACAAGCATCAACAGGGTGCAGTGATAAGATAAGTGGTGAAATTTGATGAGCCCATGGAGGGTACAGTGATAAGATAAGTTTGATGAGCATCGGCGAGGGTACTGTGATAAGATGAGATAAGGGGTGACATTTGGTGAGTGCCGGCAAGGGTGCAGTGATAAGATGAGATAAGGGGTGACATTTGATAAGCATCAAGGAGGGTGCAGTGATATGATGAGATAAGGGGTGACATTTGATGAGCGTCGGGGAGGGTGCAGTGATGAGATAAGGGGTGACATTTGATGAGTGCTGGCGAGGGTGCAGTGATAAGATAAGGGTGACATTTTATGAGCGTGGGCATCTCTGTCTCTGCTTTATCTGTCTCTCTGTCTTGTCTTTCTTTCCATCTCTCTACTTGTCCTCTCTCTCTCTCTCTCTCTCTATCTCAGAGAGAGCCACTATGAACCAATAAGTATTCTTATGCATTATATCTACAAGCACAGTATAGCACTTTGGATTTTTTAGGTTGGCCTAGGTAATTTACACTATGTATAATTGTATTTATGTGTACCTGTGAGACAGAGATAGAAAGAGATAGACAGAGACAGATGGACAGAAACAGAGATAGACATAGATACAGACAGACAGACGGAGATAGAGCCAGCCAGCCAGTTGGACAGCCAGCTGGCCGGCCAGCCAACCAGGCAGCCAGCCAGCCAGCAAGCCAGCCACCAGCCAGCCAGTTTGTTGAACACTTATTACATGCTCCAGAATTTTTTCTCTTTACTTAGGGAATAGGTTATAAGACATTCTGAAAGGGTGTTGCACAAATGTTGCACATGGGTTATTATCGAGGTTTTTGATATTTCCTCAAGCACTTGTGGCCACATCCACCTCAAAGCCACTAAACTTGGGGTCAACATCACTTTCCTCTTAAAAGGGGAGTTTTAATATGTTATGACATCAGTGAATCATTGGTGTTTGCTGTGCTGTTTTCTCTAGCTGGCACTCATTTTAACTGGTGCTCCCACAAGGTACTAAGTGGTCCCAGATTTTTTTAATATGGTGCACACTGAGTGTTAAGGCCCATTCTATGCTGCCCAGGCATCTCAGGCCAATCATGCCAAATTTGGAGGCAGGAAAAATAAAACGTATGTATACGTTTGGGGGCTAGCAGTAAGAACATATATATATATGTTTGGGTTTAGGGGGTAAAAAATGTATTTTTTGTTAATATTTTTGGGTGTCTGGAATGGATTAATTGGATTTACATTATTTCTTATGGGAAATATTACTTTGGTTTTCTGCTATTTCGAATTTAGGCCAGCCTTCTGGAACGGATTACTGCTGATAACCAGGGGTCCACTGTAATTGCCACAAATATGTTCATATACGTATTTTATTTCTTCTTACAAATCATTCATGAAATTTAGTAACATTGTTGGAACCAGTGGCCCAGTGTTGTTTCTTGTAGTCCTCAGTAACAGTTTACAATATGGATTGTTTCCTCTCATCACTGTACTAATTTTTGTCTCTGATCATGAAGTTTTTTTCTTTTTCATTCTAATAGTTTACTTTTTATTCCTTAGGAAATTTTGCATTTTTCATATAAATCTTTCATGGAGAACTGTCAAAAGCCTTTTTGAAATTTAAATATATGCAGTCTGTTTGTGCATCTCTGTATTCAAGTTTGATAACCCATTTAAAATACTGTACACCTTTTCCTCTCATGCATCTTCCTTTCAGTAGGCTTTCCTACCAATGTTAGCACGGTACGTCTACTTCTGCCTCCATGTTTTCTTTTGTGGGTTCCTGGTTTCAGTAGCTGTGCTTAGACTAAACACAGCTAGAAGTTGCCAGTAACAGTCATCATCTATACATTGTATCTTTCCTTGTTTGTCCTTCAACTTGAAAAACACTTGAGCTGATGTTGGAAAGGTGGGGTAGGGGTTGTCCTAGGAAAGGATAGAGGCATATGTGAATGTGTTAGATAGGAGTGTGTGGGGGCGAATGGTTTTTGGGACTTGGCGAACTGTTGGAGTGTGAGCAGGATAATATTTTGAGAAGGGATTCAGGAAAATTGGTTAGCTGGACTTGAGTCCTGGAGGTGGGAAGTACAAATATCCCAAACCCCTCTAAAGGAGGGGTTTGGGATATTTGCTGTCTAGAGGGACATCTAAACTGTATGTAAAACTATAGGTCTTCTTTAAAAAATGTATTTTTTTGTTAATATTTTTGAGTGTCTGGAACAGATTAATTGGATTTACATTATTTCTTATGGGAAATATTACTTCGGTTTTTGGCCATTTCAGATTTAGGCCAACCTTCTGGAATGGATTACAGCCGATAACCGGGGGTCAACTGTAATTGCCAGTGATAGTGTAAATGATGGGGGAAGTGTTTCTTTTTTGGGTCACCCTGCCTTGGTGGGAGATGGCTGGCATGTTAAAAAAAAACATGTAGAACTGTAGTGAGAGGTGTTGCAGACCCACATGCTTCACCAGACTGTAAGAAGGGGTAACTTTAAGTATTCTTTGGTTCAGTCATGATGGCTCTGCTCATTCCTTTAGAGCTATGCAGGCTCAGTCTTCACTGAATTGGGCAGTTCAGTGGTTTAGCTGTTGGCTTTCCCTAAATGCTTTTGTTAAATATTGGCACTATGTTTGCCATTTTCCATTTTCCTGCCTTTCTGCCTCTTTGTATTGAGGTTCCAAAAACTATCCAGAGCAGATAGCTTTGGTCTGCTGCTTATTGCTTTATTATCCAGGGTGGCAGATCATCTGATTCTATTGCTTTATATTTGCCAGTATTCATTAGCAATTTTTTTGCTTTTTTTTCAGTGCATTCTGTCTCACTTGGCTGTTTGGTATCAGTCTATTAAAATGTTCTTATTTAAATAAATTCTTATTTAAATAAATTCTCACATTTCCTCCACTGATTTAGTTAATTTTTCATCAGCCTTGATTCTCTGTATTGTTGCCATTGCATTTAATTAATTAAAATTTTGAATATAAGAATTTAGTCCACATTGCTCTTACTGCTATATAAAAATATCTTGTATGTATTAGTAAATACATTTTTGGCTTATCAGATCACAGACTGGGTGGGGCTTGAACCCATGGCAGGCAAGTCCTGCCATGTGATTTGTTTGCAATTGTGTTATTTTGTGAGTTGTTTCTGGTTTATTTAAATCTCTGGCTTGTGTTTGAGTCTTGTACTTTTAGTATAGGTTCTAAGATTTTGTTTTTCATGGTTCCCAGCACTTGTTAAATTATTCTTAATTTCTTGTCTGTTTTATGTTGTTTAATAAAGTGTGATTCCACTTCTATATGGTTTAAAGTTTTTTTTTTCATTTTCTCTTGTATATTTTACTGTATTCAGCTTCTTTGAAATACTGTTTTAAAACAGAATACTACTGTTCTTTATTTTTTTTTTGTAATCTAGTGGCACTTTCCTTGTACAATCTTCTTTATTCATTTACAGTTTGTTAAACTGTAATGTTTGTAATGTAAGTGAAAATACAGTACAAGTACTGTACCGAAATTTAAAATATTTTAAATTTAATCATTTTTGTTTTGTTTGCTTTCATTATGTTCATTTCTAAGTTTATGCATGAGAGTTGCTGTATATGCAAAGCATTTTATTAAATAACAAATGAATTAATAATATTTTTCAGATATAACATTATGAAGCAGTGCTGGTACCCAGAATATTCCCGACCTCCTATGACTCACATTTATTCTTTACTGATGCATTTGTGGGAGAACTCATGTGTCACCTGCCATGATGAGTCTTCCATGAGTGACTTTGAGCAAAGGTGGGACCAGCTGCAGCAGCAACACTGCCGTGATCATAGTATTGTACACGCTCCCAACACTTCTGATCTCAGGTAGTGAAAATACTGTACATTGAAAAAGTAATCATTGAAAATTATGCTTAACATCTTAATATTAATTTAAAGATAATAAAACCAAATAATATAATAGTTGTATAAGATATCCAAACCTTAGTACTTTAGTTATGAAGGACATATAAAATATAATAAACTCTCAATATAACTGACATTTGGGTGATTGTCCAAGTGTTTTTAAAATATGTCAGAACAGTGTTAAAAACAACAAAAAGTACTCTGTTGTATATCTAATATTGTACTCGACACACAATTTACAGTTAATTATCCCTTTGACTGTCCATCATGTAGAACTGTTATCGATGCTGGGATCCATTACATAATCTGTCATGAGCTCAGCTCGCTCAGATAAGTTCTTAGTGGTAAATTTTGGCCTAGATATGAGAAAATGGGTCTGTGTGATGAGTGTGCACAGTATAAAAAAAATCCTGCCTCGTGGTGCATGATGGGAAAAGCAAAACTTTGACAATGTGTCTGATTACAAACAGCATTTTTGAGGTGTTTTCTAGGATGGTTTTTATGATTGTATTGGCTGTTTCTTGGTATCATTAGATGGAATGGAAGATATACTACTAAAATAAAGATGAGTTTAGATGGTTCCTGGGCTGGAAGTAGCTTGAAATTAGCCTCCAAGTAGTAGAAATATTTGATTATTGCTGATATTCTTGAGGATAAGTAAGGCCTTCCCTACACCCCTCGGTCTGTTTTATGGGTTTTTACTATGATTCAATTAGTGGGATGCTGTAAACCTTGACAGATCATTCCTGGTTACATTTTATTATCCGGGAAATAGGGTAAATCTTCGATTTTTTTTGTGTGATGCTGATTTCAAAATGTAAATAGGAGAGGCTTGGGGACATGATTATTGCACAGAAGAAATGTTGTTTTAGTGCCTGGAATGTCTGCAGTGTTTATTTTGAACTCTCCTTTTTTAAAATTGGATTTTTTTTAATTTTTGCATAAAATTGGCCAAAAATTACCGAATTCTGTGCACTTTATAGGATTATTTTGACAGTAGAATGGGCAGTTTCTTGTACTCAGTCAATGTAATGAAAGGCATACTAGCAAAATAGCTAAAAATTCAATTAAATTGTGTAATGGAATTGCCTGCCTTATGTTTTCCATCAAATTTTGTACTTTCGGTGTCATGAACTTTGGAAAAAGATTCTCTACCATTTTTTTATCAAGTGGACGCTGATAGAAATATTAATTTCAAGGGGTCTGGACAGTGAGAGGGTTAATTGGTTGCTCCACCTTGGTTTTCCATCATTAATGTCTTTTGATCACAATGATGTGATGTTTCATTTTCTTGTATGCTTAGTATGGTGGCTGTACCCTTTGTAAAATGCCTGTACCCATTATAAGGTGGCTATAATCTTTTTAAGGTGGCTGTACCCATGTGAGCCAGTGAAGGGCTTGATCTAGAGAACTAGTGTTACTGCTCCATTCCTTGTGTTGAATTTAATTGTCTCTTTCCCCAAGCGATATATGATTCCCCTAATTAAAATAAAATTAATGTACTCTTATAATGTGGCTCTATCCTTCGTAAGGTGGCTTCATCCTATGTAATTTGGCTATGGCTTTTGTAACAGTAGCCACCCTTTGCAAGGTGGTTATTGTTGTAGAGTGAGTGATCAGGAAAATAAATGGTTAAAAAAAAAGAAAGTTTAAATTCTAAATTTTTTTGCAAATTTCAAGATGTTTTTAGAGAAATCTTGTAAACTATAATGATATGAAATTGTAATATTATGATTGCAAACAAATCACAGAATGAGTGTGGCTTGAATCCATGGCAAGCTTATTCTAAAATTTGTAGGCCACTGCATTTTTCCACTGGACGATACTGGCCTAATAAGATTCAACCAACCAGGTTTATTTCTATACACCATAGGGAGGTTAGCATGGGTCCTGCTGTGGCTACAGATACAAATTTTTACAAACAAATCTCACACCATCATAGCTAGCCTGAGAGTTTTAGTACTTGCTTGTGGGTTTGAGCCACACCCATTCTGTGATGTGTAAGCTAGAGTTAGTACATTAACATTACTGGATAAGTATGGAAGAGAAGTGATGGCTGAATATTTTTTTTTACGTGACAGTTTTTATATAAAACAGTTAACCAGACTTGAGTCCTGGAGGTGGTTAATACAGTGTCTGTGCTCTGAAGGAGGGGTCAGGATTTTGCAGTTTGGATGGCCATCTTAACTGTGATATCTGTGGATTTCTGGCAAGATAGTGGTTAGGAGAACGAAAGTGAATGTGTTTCCAGTTTTTTGGTATAGCCTACCTCAATAGTAGACAGCTGGTGCATTAAAAAAATAGAATTGATTTTTTTGAGGTAAAAATCAATGCCTTTTAAGTGTAAAGTGCCAGTGAGATCAGATGTGAGAGTAAAAAAAAGATTTAGACAGGATGTTAAAGGCTGATGAAGAATTTTAGGAACATTGGTTTCGTGTTCATGAAAGTTTTTATGTAAGTGTACAGTAGTAGCAAGAAATTAAGAAAGGGAGGCAGTAATTTAATGCATTGGCCAGGGAGGTATACCATCTTTTAGGAGTGAAGAAGAGCAGGATGTAAGTGTGGGGGAGGTGCGCAAGGCATTATGTAGAATGAAAGGGGGTAAAGCATCTGGAACTGATGGGATCATGACAGAAATGTTAAAAGCAGGGGTGGATATAGTGTTAGAGTGGTTCGTATTTTTGTTTGTAGGTAGTAGGTTAGTAGATAGCAACCACCCAGAGAGGTACTACTGTTCTGCCAAGTGAGTGTAAAGCAAAAGCCTGTAATTGTTTTACATGATGGTAGGATTGCTGGTGTCTTTTGTCTGTCTCATAAATATGCAAGATTACAGGTACGTCTTGCTACTTCTACTTACACCTAGGTCACACTACACGTTTATTTATACACATTCATCTGAGTTTTCTTTGATTTTATCTTAGTTCTTGTTCTAATTACTTTTCCTTTTATATCCACGGGGAAGTGGAATAAGAATATTTCCTCCGTAAGCCATGCGTGTTGTAAAAGTCAACTAAAATGCTGGGGACAATGGGCTAGTAACCCCTTTTCCTGTAATAATTACTAAAAAGAATAAAAAGAAGAAAATTGTCAAAGTGGGAAGTCTGAATGTGTGTGGATGTTGTGCGAATGATAAGAAAGAGATGATTGTGGATGTTATGAATGAGAAGAAGCTGGATGTCCTGGCTTTAAATGAGACAAAACTGAAGGGGGTGGGTGAGTTTCATTGGAGAGGAATAAATGGGATTAGGTCAGGAGTTTCTAATAGAGTTAGAGCTAAAGAAGGAGTAGCAATAATGTTGAAGGATAAGCTATGGCAGGAAAAGAGGGACTATAAATGTATTAATTCAAGGATTATGTGGAGTAAAATAAAGGTTGGATGTGAGAAGTGGGCTATAGTAAGCATATATGCACCTGGGGAAGAGAGAAGTATGGAGGAGAGAGAGAGATTTTGGGAAATGTTGAGTGAATGCGTGGGGAGTTTTGAACCAAGTGTGAGAGTACTTGTGGTTGGGGATTCTAATGCTAAAGTGGGTAAAAATGTTGTGGAGGGAGTAGTAGGTAAATTTGGGGTGCCAGGGGTAAATGAAAATGGGGAGCCTTTAATTGAGCTATGTGTAGAAAGAGGTTTGGTAATAAGTAATACATATTTATGAAAAAGAGGATAAATATACAAGGTGTGATGTAGCACGTAATGAAAGTAGTTTGTTAGATTATGTATTGGTGGATAAAAGGTTGATGGGTAGGCTCCAGGATGTACATATTTATAGAGGGGCAACTGATATATTGGATCATTATCTAGTTGTAGCTACAGTTAGAGTAAGAGGTAGATGGGATAAGAGGAAAATGGCAACAACAAGTATGAGGGAGGTGAAAGTGTATAAACTAGGGGAGGAGGAAGTTCAGGTGAAATATAAGCGACTATTGGCAGAAAGGTGGGCTGGTGCAGGTATGAGTAGTGGGGGGGGGGATTGAAGAGGGTTGGAATAGTTTTAAAAATGCAGTATTAGAATGTGGGGCAGAAGTTTGTGGTTATAGGAAGGTGGGTGCAGGAGGAAAGAGGAGTGATTGGTGGAATGATGAAGTAAAGGGTGTGATAAAAGAGAAAAAGTTAGCTTATGAGAGATATTTACAAAGCAGAAGTGTTATAAGAAGAGCAGAGTATATGGAGAGTAAAAGAAAGGTGAAGAGAGTGGTGAGAGAGTGAAAAAGGAGAGTGGATGATAGAGTGGGAGAGGTACTGTCAAGAAATTTTAATGAAAATAAAAAATTTTGAAGTGAGTTAAACAAGCTAAGAAAGCCTAGGGAACAAATGGATTTGTCAGTTCAAAACAGAGTAGGGGAGTTAGTAGATGGGAGATGGAGGTTTTGGGTAGATGGCGAGAATATTTTGAAGAACTTTTAAATGTTAACGAAGAAAGGGAGGCGGTAATTTCATGCACTGGCCAGGGAGGTATACCATCTTTTAGGAGTGAAGAAGAGCAGGATGTGAGTGAGGCATTACGTAGAATGAAAGGGGGTAAAGCAGCTGGAACTGACGGGATCATGACAGAAATACTAAAAGCAGGGGGGACATGGTGTTGGAATGGTTGGTATTTTTGTTTAATAAATGTATGAAAGAGGGGAAGGTACCTAGGGATTGCTTGAGAGTGTGTATAGTCCCTTTTTATAAAGGAAAGGGGGAAAAAAGAGATTGTAAAAATTATAGAGGAATAAGTTTACTGAGTATACCAGGAATAGTATACGGTAGGGTTATTATTGAAAGAATTAGTAGGGAATGTGTAGATCAAGTGTTTACATTGAAGCATATATGTGAGCAGTATTTAGAGAAAGGTAGGGAAGTTTTTATTGCATTTATGGATTTAGAAAAGGCATGTGATAGAGTGGATAGGGAAGCAATGTGGCAGATGTTGCAAGTATTTGGAGTAGGTGGTAAATTACTAAATGCTGTAAAGAGTTTTTATGAGGATAGGCTCAGGTTAGGGTGTGTAGAAGAGAGGGAGACTACTTCCCGGTAAAAGTAGGTCTTAGACAGGGATGTGTAATGTCACCATGGTTGTTTAATATATTTATAGATGGGGTTGTAAGAGAAGTAAATGCTAGGGTGTTCGGGAGAGGGGTGGGATTAAATTATGGGAAATTAAATACAAAATGGAAAGTGACATAGTACTTTTTGCTGATGATACTGTGCTTATGGGAGATTCTAAAGAAAAATTGCAAAGGTTAGTGGACGAATTTGGGAGTGTGTGTAAAGGTAGAAAATTGAAAGTGAACATAGAAAAGAGTAAGGTGATGAGAGTATCAAATTATTTAGATAAAGAAAAACTGGATATCAAATTGGGGAGGAGGAGTATGGAAGAAGTGAATGTTTTCAGATATTTGGGAGTTGACGTGTCAGCGGATGGATTTATGAAGGATGAGGTTAATCATAGAATTGATGAAGGAAAAAAGGTGAGTGGTGCATTGAGGTATATGTGGAGGCAAAAAATGTTATCTATGGAGGCAAAGAAGGGAATGTATGAAAGTATAATAGTACCAACACTCTTATATGGGTGTGAAGCTTGGGTTGTAAATTCTGCAGCGATTAGGCAGTTGGAGGCAGTGGAGATGTCCTGTCTAAGGGCAATGTGTGGTGTAAATATTAGGCAGAAAATTCGGAGTGTGAAAATTAGGGGAAGGTGTGGAGTTAATAAAAGTATTAGTCAGAGGGCTGAAGAGGGGTTGAGGTGGTTTGGCCATTTAGAGAAAATTGATCAAAGTAGAATGAAATGGATAGCATATAAATCTGTAGGGCAAGGAAGGTGGGGTAGGGGTCATCCTCAAAAAGGTTGGAGGGAGGGGGTAAAGGAGATTTTGTAGGCAAGGGGTTTGGACTTCCAGCAGGTGTGCATGAGTGTAGATAGGAGTGAATGGAGATGAATGGTATTTGGGACCTGACAAGCTGTTGGAGTGTGAGCAGGGTAATATTTAGTGAAGGAATTCAGGGAAACCGGTTATTTTTATATAGCCGGACTTGAGTCCTGGAAATGGGAAGTACAGTGCCTGCACTTTAAAGGAGGGGTTTGGGATATTGGTGGTTTGGAGGGATATGTTATGTATCTTTATGCGTATATGCTTCTAAACTGTTGTATTCTGAGCACCTCTGCAAAAACAGTGATTATGTTTGAGGGAGGTGAAAGTGTTGAATGATGAAAGTATTTTCTTTTTGGAGATTTTCTTTCTTTTTGGGTCACCCTGCTTTGGTGGGAGACAGCCGACTTGTTAAAAAAAAAAAAATTCTATGACTGACAAGAACCCTTAACCTAACCCTTAAACGGTCCAAACGTATATATACGTTCACTTGCGTAGCGCCCCAAATTTTTTGAGGAAAAAAGAAATCTTTTCTTTTAAAAGAAAAAAAGAGCATATGGTACCCAGGCATCCCCAATTATTTTAATATGGAACACAGTGAGTGCACACACCCATTCTCTCATGTCTAGGTGACTCAGGCTTATTGTGGCAATGTTGAATGAATGACAAAGAAAACGTATATATACGTTTGGGGCGCTACGCGCGTGAACGTATATATACGTTTTGGACCGTTTAAGGGTTAAACTGTCCAAACGTAGATCTACGTTTTTTTAACATTTGAAAGTATGTAAAAAAATGTAGATCATTTTTTTTTTTTTACATTTGAAAACGTGTAAAATAAACTTTTATCTTCATTTTTTTTTTGTTATGTTTGAAAATATGTAAAAAAAACGTAGATCTACTTTTGGAGCACTACGGATTTGAACATTGATCTGTTTTGACAGTTTAAGGGTTAATGAGAGATGCATATTTTATATTTTGTATCTTTTTTTATATAATTTTTAATTTCAGGTTTGAAAGTGACTTCAGTTTGTCAGCATCAGGGCATCATCATTTTGGAGGGACTATGTCACCGAGTTTGCAGAATCTTCGAGGTTCAGTAGAGGACCTAGATGCTAAGATGGCAGCCAAATTTGGTTCAGCCCTTCCTTCATGGCTTGGAGTGGAACCAGGTCAGCCCCTCGATAGTTTGACCCAAGAGATAACTGATGCAATACTCAAGTTGGATGATTACTTAGCTGGGGAAAAGTCAGAACCCAGCACTACCCAGGCATCACCAGAGAAAGGTGGAATAAATTTTAAGCTTGGTAAAGATTCTTTTGTTTCTAATCCTCCAGAATCAAAGCTTGCCAGAGTGGGCAGAATGTCTGTTGAAGAAGGAAGTGGACATCCAAGTTTAACAAGATCATTGTCAGAAGGAGACGATGAGGGCTTTACAATGAGACTAGAACAAGGAGAGTTTACGGAGATGGTGAGATTGAAGAGCCAGAGTGTCCAAGACTTCATGAAATTAACTGTAGTAGATGATGGAAGTGACTCTGATAATGCCAGTCAGCGAAATTCCTTAGCATTTGAACCTCTAGCTCAAGAGAAAACCTGTTCCAGTGAGGGTAATATAAGAGAGGCTCTCAGGGATATTAAGTTTATGGGGGAGCTTGAGAGATTACAAGCACACCACAGATATTCAATTATTTCAGAAACAAGTAGAGAAAATCCATCATCTATAGAATACAGAATCCAGGACTTTAACTTTGACCCATCCTTCGGTCAATCAGATATTCTCTTAGACTCAGAAGCAGGATCCACAGATAAATTGGCTACCAGTACAGAATCAGATAATTCAAATAACTTCCATGAAAGACAAAACAGTGAACAGGATCCTTTTTTAGGTGAAATTATCTCCTCTGGACTTACAGGGGAGAAGAAAATAGACAACTTGGATACCAAAGAGGAAAACAGCAATTCCACTTATTTAGGGGATAATTCTGTGGGATCAAAACCCCTTCCTGCATCACCAGATTGTGTTGTATCTTCCAGAGAACCTAAACCAGTTGCTCTTCCAGATATTGTTGTACATGATGCTAGTGTAAAGTTGAGTACCCCAAGCCCACCACCTGTCGATAGCCCAGTTAATATTATAAACAACAATCAGCCAAAGGAATTTCGTTTCATATTCGAAGATCAAACTGACCTATCCTCAGCTGGTGAATCCAGGTTTACATTTAAGGATGGTCATGAAAGTCTGTTCCAAGCTGATTCTGTGATATTTAGTGAGAATATTCGAAATATAGACTTAAACAGAGTTGGTGAGTGTGAAAGCAGTAATAAAAATGAGATTAATTACCAAAGAATTAATAATGTTAATAAGAGTGATTTGTCTATAGTAAAGCAGCCATTGGAAAATGAGCAAGAGGAAGAAGCAAGGAAAATAGGTGATCTCAGTAAATTCCTTACATACATGCAGGACAGTTTTAGGGAGAGGCTAACAAGTACCCCATGTAAAAAAGGTAACATTGGAATTTCAGTACGAACAGATGACATAGATGCAGAAATGTACAAATCTGCATTAAGTAACGAGGAGAATATTTGCGATACAGACTCTGAAGGTGATAAAGAATTTTTGTCTGTTAATGGGATGACTGGCACTTCCAGCAGCTCAGGTGAAGAAAAAGTAGAACATGTTAATACCAATGTGAGAAGTGAGGAAGAACATCAAGTATGTGACGATGAAGACCAGAATGATATCCCTAGCTATAAACCAGAACAGATTATTAAAGGAGAAGATGTAGTGATTGGAGCTTTAGAAGATTATTCACTTGAACTTTATAGAGCTGTAAAGTCCACAGAGATTTCCTTGTCAAATGAAAAGCCCATGCAAAAATCTTCAACATTTGAGGAAAAGGATGACAGCTATTCATCAGAAGTACCAACAGAATCTTCAGTGAAGGAGAGTAGCAGAATAAAAAATGATTCCATGGAAATTGAAGTTGACTTAGAACAGTGGGATAAATTTCTTGGCAGTGCAATGAATGGCGACAAAATTGGCTCAGAGTCAGTATTTAAGGAAAGTTTTGAAGACAATACATCTGCAGATAGTAAATTGGCAAGGGATGCATTAGAAAGTACTTTTGAAGAAAAAGAACATAGTGTTGAAAGTAAAATAAAAATGAAATTTGACGAAACGTGTGTGAAGTGTGATGCAGTGAATAATCCAGATTTAAGTAGCACTTTTGAACATAGTACATGTGATGAAATTTGTGACATCATGACTAATGAGAGGGAGGAAGAGGCTGACAGATCAGAATATCGCCCTGAAGTTGATGTAAGCGTATTCTTTGGTTCAGATTCATGTATCACTCGGGATGTTCACAACTCATCGTTCGACATTCCTGATAGTAGACCAAAATCTCAAAAACAAGTTTTAAATTTAAAATCATATTTAAATGACATGACCAGTCCACAGTCTAAATGTAGTGATGAATCATATGTTACAGCATTGGCATCACCAAACACAAGGGAGATGCAAATACCAACTGATGTCTCTGATCTTTATGAAACCCCAACACTACAAAGTGATGGTGACACTTGGACACCAGTCACTGACCCCAGCTCTCAAAGATCCAAAGACTGTACATCTCGAAAGATTCCTCCAGAAGATATTGTGCAGTGCTTGCATAGTAGCTCATCTGTTATTTCTGACACACCAGAGTCTTTTAGCAGTAAGAGAGAAGCATCTGTTGATGGTACTTCAGAGGATTTTTCTCAAAATTGTAACAATGATATCTTAAAGCCTTGCAAAGATATACAGGCAGCTAAAAATACCTTAGACACAAAAATTGCAGAGCCTGTAAATAAATTCTTGATTACAGATGAAAATACTATATTGAAAGCTATTAGTGATAACAGTGATGTGAAGCAGGGTTATGTCAAAAATCAAGATGTAGTTTCTAAAGATTCACCTACTCCAATTGACTCTGGAATTAGTTTAACATCAAACACATTAAACTATGGAAATGATAGTCCTGCATTTAATGTTGAATGTAGTATACAGAGATTAGAGGAACTGGATAGACTTAAACAGAAAAATATTATAATAAAAGAGGAGGAGGAAGATCTGTCACCAAGTGCCTACCAAACTAAATTGAGGTTTGATAATAGTTGGAATTCTCATAAAGGTCAGGATTCAGTTGTAGAGAATGATGAAACAGAAAATGGAGACTTTTGGCAACAACAAATGATGGCCTGGCAAGAGGCAGCATTTCAAACTCGACAGCTCCTTCAACAGGCAGCTGGTGGAAGTGGTACTTCATTATCAGAACACAAGGGCTCGCAGGAAGATTTATTAGATTCAAGCCCTCGGAGTGATAGCTCTTCCACAAAAAGTCTCTATTCATCATCTGATATGCTTAGTTTGGATGATGAAGGCACTTATATTTCTTATAATACTACAGATGATGAAGAGGTGCTTGGGTACAAACCAGAAGACATCAATGCCTTACGAGCTGAACTGAACCTAAAACTTGGGGTTCTGCATGAAGACAAAGAACATTCAGAGCCTGAGGAGCCAGATGATACTTTATCATCAGACAGAGAGAATGTTACTATTAATTATAGAGGCATTTTGACAACACTTTCTCCAATTAAAGAAGAAAGTTTCTTGGAAGATGATGATTCACCTTCAAAAAAGAACACTATGAAAGATACTAACAATGTAGAGTCTGTACATGATCAGAGCATTGAATTTGAAGAGCCATTTACTTTGACACTCAGTGATACATTCATTGTTATTGAAGATGCTAAAGACCTTGTTAATAGCCAACAGCCAGTATTGGATCAGCCCTCTACTGAAGAAATTAAAGATGTTTCCATAACAAATGACGAGTCTGGTGAAGGAAAAATTGCTAAATATGATAAGGTTGATGAACTGCAACATAATGCAAGCATAAAGGACACCTTTGAAACTATAAGTGAATTTTTAAGTCTTGAGAATGCTCATGATAGTTTAATAATGGAAGATCTAGATGAAGAGCATGGTCCATCATCTATTCAGATATACAGTTCAGGGAACAACTTTGATGCAGAAGACATCTTAGTTGTTGATATTGAAACTAATGAAGCTAAGATTGTTGACAGAGGATTACCCAGGAGTCACTTGGCTTTCATAAATGATCAAGAAGAACAAGAAGATACAAAAGATATTAGTTTCTTTGCTTATGAAGAGTCGGATGACGTAGCTCCTGAATCCATTCCATCTATTGGAGGATCAAGATTTGATGAAATGCGCCATCGTGAAGAATTCCTTAAAAATAACCCATCTTGGGAAAAGCCAGGGAGCATAAAACCTGAAGGCTATAAAGAGGATTCTGAATCTCATCCTGAGAGAGAATTTGTTGCTGATATACTCTCAGAATCTCCACAAGGGATTCAGGTTCCACATTACCACTCATATTTTACCTCTGCACTGAGTACCATATCACATCCAAATGCCAGTATAGAGGAACCTGTGCTTTTTGAGCAAGTAGAACACATTTCTCTTCCATATGATGTGAATTACCCTTCAGCTGGTGAACAGATGCATAGTTTAGAAGATTTTAGTGAGCAAGTAGAGGATATTAAAGATCATATTAGCCAAGAAGACAAAGAAGAGGCTAAAATTAGTGAAATTGAAGATGATAATGATGATGCCCCTATCAAACTCAACTTTTTAGGTAGACTGTACTCTGATGAGTCTGAAGAAAAAGATGAAGAGAAAAATATGAAATGTCAGGCAAGGGAAGCAACTCTTCTTTCAGATTCTGAAACTGATGATAGTGACAAAAAGGCTGCCTATCCTAAGACACCAGAACCTGCAGACATTACTCAAATGAGCACCTCAGAATTTTTGGCATCACAGAATTATCTGGTAAGGCCGTTTGTTTTATTCAGGGTGGTATGATACTGATGAATGGCTCTTGATTCAAGGAACTGGAGGCATTCTCCCTTTCCTTGCCTCAACCCTTATTATTGCATTTCCAGGGTCTCTATGACCTTTTATGTATTATATTCCCCAGGAATATAATACATAAAAACCTCTCATTAACAGACTAATGGGGGAAGAGGGTGTACAGTAATGTTCATTGTCTGCCAGTTCTGAATTATGAAATCAATATTTTGTGATTGTCCAGCTGTTTTCTCTAAGTAGTGTACTTGGTCCACTGACCCAGAAGATACCCAGACACTTGGTCCACTGACCTAGAAGATACCCAGACACTTGGTCCACTGACCTAGAAGATACCCAGACACTTATCACTGACGAAGACTGAACATTGTCCACTGACCCAGAAGATACCCGGACACTTAGTCCACTGACCCAGAAGACACCTGAACACTTAGTCCACTGACCCAGAAGATACCTGAACACTTAGTCCACTGACCCAGAAGATACCCGGACACTTAGTCCACTGACCCAGAAGACACCTGGACACCAAGACTTTTAGCGCTACAGTACAGTCTTGTACTGTAGTACTAAACTGTACTGTACTGTAGTAACTTTATTGTACTCTGCATAATTTACATTAATTTTACTTAGCTTTTTGTGGTGGAAAGATGTGTAAACTACCGGGATCAGTAGTGGTGATTCAGTAACTTTTATTCTGAGTAAGAGCAGCTGTAAAGCTCTACTGGTGAAAATAATATAGATGGCTGAGAAGATGTAAATGGCTGAAAAACTTAAATCTTTCAGAACCACACTTTTTTTTTATTGGCACCACTGCTTTAGAAGCCATTGTTAATTTCACTATACTTAATATGTTAATGCCGGGAGCAAGGGCCTAGTAACCCCTTCTCCTGTATAAATTACTTAATTTAAAAAGAGAAACTTTCGTTTTTCTTTTTGGGCCACCCTGCCTTGGTGGAATATGGCCAGTTTGCTGAAAAAAAAAAAAACTTAATATGTTAATCAAGTCAAACAAAATACTCTAAATCCAGGGAAAATTAGAGATTAAATGATGAGTGTATTGTGAATGAGCACACACAGTAAACTGGCACAGGTGGTCTACAGCTCAGGAAGCAGTGAAAACAAACAGCTCCTGGATATGGCCACTTTGGCCTATGCTGGACAAATGCAGCAGTTAGTGAACTTGGCCCAATACTTCAGAAGACAACTAGACTATCGCTACTGACAAAATCCACAGTTATGTATTTTGATGATAACTGGAGCATTTGTCTAGCCAAATTTTTTTGGTCCAAAATTGCCAAAATCTGTTAATGACAGGTTTTACTGTAATAATAATAATAATAATAATAATAATAATAATAATAATAATAATAATAATAATATAATAACAGTGGAACCTCATTTTTTGGCCGTAATCCGCTCCAGAAGGTCGACCTAAATTGAAGCAATATTTCCCATAAGAATTAATGTAAATACAATTAATCTGTTCCAGACACCCAAAAATATTCACAAAAAATATATTTTTTAAAGATTAATTATAGTTTTACATACACAAAACAGTGAGAACTAAATAAAATAAATTAAGAACATTTAAATCACTATTTAATACCTTTATTGAAGACTCTTGTTGGCTTATGGAAGACTGGGAGGAGGGAGGAGGGAGGGAGGGAGGGTGGATTATTGTTTGGAAGGGGAATCCCCTTCCAAAAGGACTTTAGGTAACAAGTGTGGTATAATTTATCTACCCAAAACTATGGTCAAGTAAACTTGTAGAACAAATACTTAGCTTTGTTGCTGTCTCTGCCTATCGCAGCCTCTGACGATAGCAGCCTCCAATGATAGACAGTTGTTCTATGGCCACGTGACTGAAGGGGAAAGGTACCATGAGTATAATTACCCCTATGGGGTGTTGTGTCAGTATTTCAATAACTGAATACTGGCTGAATCCTTATACTCACTTGTTTGGGCTAAAAAGCCCGCCCATAACCGAGTGTATTGTGATAAGTCTAGAGACAAATGAACTAACTATCTGCTGCTCAGCTAATCTAGCTAGTCTCATTAATTACTAGACCTACCTAGGTATCTGTATCGGACCCATATGTGACTCGGATATAGGTGTCTTGATTGAAGCAGATGTGTTCTTTGATGAATGTTACACTACACTCCATCAGGGTCATAACATTCGTTGTTACACACTGTTCATCAAGTATTGTTATTAATCACAGTCTTATCACTAAAGAAGCTATTGTCACTTCTTTGTAAGTGTCTGCTGTGTCCTTGGAGATTCTTTTATGCACACAAATGCGCGATCACAGTAGTCTGTTATTACAGTGTGACGCACGAGTTGCCTCGACTAAGTCTAAAAGGAATCTACGCTGCCGTGCCCCTCTCTGGCCTGACTTGCCATCATATAAAGGATTCGCTGATACAAGCAGATTTGCCTTCCTTGCCAGACTGCAACAGTTTGCAACACAAATGCTTGATTTCTTGATATATCTCAATCACAGAGTTCATCATGTCCCACATGTGAATAAAGTGAGGTAGAAGTTTTCCTGTACCTTTCCTATTGCAGTACAGGGATTATTTACACTTGTTAACTCAAATTGGTTATAACACTGGTCTCTTGCAAGGAGTCGCATGACCTGTGGCTGGTACACGCTGGTTAAACATACGCTTGTAATTGCTTGATGTGGAAGTAAACAAGATGTTTGCCTCTTTTGAGAGGGCTGGGCCCCTCAGGGCTGGAAGGGGCTGATAACTCCCTCCTGGAGAAAATTTCTCCACAACAAGTCCTTCTCTGGGGTTACTTCCCTTCTTTGTCTTTCATTGCCACTAGGACCAGCCTGAGAGTCACTGGACCCCTGTCGCACAAAATAACTGTCCAGAGTGCTCCATTTCTGGTGTCTCTTTAAGATTTCCCTAAAATGGGACAAGGTTTTGTCACTGAACCTGTTGCAGATATGGCTTGTTTCAGCTTGGTCAGGGTGATATTTCTCCACAAAAGTTTGCACCTCATTCCACTTTGCAAAAATGTTCTTAATCACTGAAGAAGGCACATCCTTCCCTCTCTCTTCCTCCTCCTCCTCTGAAGCAAGTTCCTCAGCTGTGGTCTGTTGCTGTTCCAGTTGAAGGTGTTGCAGCTCTTCAGTGGTTAGCTCTTCCCTGTGGTCCTCCACTGACTCTTTCACATCCTCGCCACTCACATCCAACCCCATGGACTTCCCCAGTGCCACAATAGATTCCACAACAGGCAGAGAGAGTTGACAGGGTCAAGGTAAGCCTCAAACCCTTCAAAATCCTTCTTGAGGACACATTGTGGCCACAATTGTCTCCAGGAAGAGTTCAAAGTCCTGGAAGTCACTCCCTGCCAGGCTTTACCTATAAGGCTTATGCAATGGAGGATATTGAAAGTGATTCCTCCAGAACTCTCTTAGGGTCAATTCAGTGTCCGAGGTCACTTCAAAGCACTTTTGAAACTTGACTCAAGAAATCGTAATGACACGATTGCAAATAAACCATACCCCCGGCCGGGATTGAACCCGCGGTCATAGAGTCTCAAAACTCCAGCCCGTCGTGTTAGCCACTAGACCAGCTAGCCACAATAAGATTCATCCAACTAGGTATATTTCTACACCATAGGAAAGTTAGCACAGGCACCTCTGTGACCGCGGGTTCAATCCCGGCCGGGGGTATGGTTTATTTGCAATCGTGTCATTACGATTTCTTGAGTCATGTTGACGGCAGTGAAGGGACTTGAGCTAGAGTTCGTCACGGCCACGCTAGCTGGAGATTCGTCTGTAAAAACTTGCATTTGTGGTCACAGAGGTGCCTGTGCTAACTTTCCTATGGTGTAGAAATATACCTAGTTGGATGAATCTTATTGTGGCTAGCTGGTCTAGTGGCTAACACGACGGGCTGGAGTTTTGAGACTCTATGACCGCGGGTTCAATCCCGGCCGGGGGTATGGTTCACTTTTGAAACTGCTTTTGTGTAGAGTTTTTTGAAGTTAGAAATGACCTGCTGGTCCATGGGCTGGATGAGAGGAGTGGTGTTAGGAGGCAAGAACTTCACTGTTATAAAATGGAAGTCCCTAGAGAGTAGGTTTACCAAGTTTGGAGGATGAGCAGGAGCATTGTCCATTACCAGGAGGCAATTGAGTGGCAATTTATTTTCCAGGAGGTATTTTTTCATACTCGGGCCAAACACTTCTTGGACCCAGTCAATGAAAATTTGCCTTGTGACCCATGCCTTATGATTAGCTTTCCACATCACACACAATTTACTCTTGACGACATTGTTTTTCTTGAACACTCTGGGATTTTCAGAGTGATACACAAATAAAGGCTTCACTTTGAAATCCCCACTAGTGTTAGCACAGAACAAAAGAGTTAGCCTGTCTTTCATAAACCATACCACGGGCGGGGATAGAACCCGCAATCAGAGAGTCTCAAAACTCCAGACCGTTGCGTTAGCCACTGGACCAGCTAGCCACAGTCTTTCATAGACTTGTGTCCTGGCAGTGCCTTTTTCTCCTCCGTGATTTAGGTCCTCTCTGGCATTTTCTTCCAAAAGAGGCCTGTTTCGTAACAATTGAACCCCTTGAATTCCTGCACAAATTTTTCAGCCGCACATTTGTCAGAACTTGCAGCCTCACCATGCCTTACAACACTATGTATGCCACTATGCTTCTTAAATCTCTCAAACCAGCCTCTGCTGGCCTTAAATTCACTAACATCATCACTAGTACCAGGCATTATCTTTGAGATCTGCATGCAACTGCCTTACCTTTTCACAAATTATTGTCTCTGAAACACTATCTTCCACTAACTGTTTTTCCCTGATCCACAGCAACAGCAGCTTCTCCACATCTTCATTTGTTTGTGATCTCTTTTTCATTAACAGGTTTACCCCTTTCGTCACATTGGCTTCCTTGATTTGTTCTTTCTTTGCCAGGATAGAAGTGATTATTGATCTCTTTTTGCCATACATCCTGGCAAGTTCCAGCACCCGAATATCACTCTCATATTTTTCTGTTACTTCCTTCTTCATTTTCATTGTGTTTCTCACTTTCTTTACCAAAGGAACTTTACTAGGAACTTTCTTGCAGCCCATGGCGACTTATTTCACAGTCGCACTAATAAAAAACCAACAAAAACAATGGATTTTAAGGAAATGTTTGGATGAATGCACAGAGTATATGCTCACTTGCTGACAGACAAAGAGAGACTGACTAACCAAAGTGCAGCATCCCGGTGGGAGAGGCGGGCTAACGCGTCTGATATGGCCGATATGCAAGGTAACAGCCGAAATATGGAGCAAAATTTCTGCTAAAAAACCAGCCTTAATATGAATCTGCCAATAAATGCAATTGCCGAAAAACAAGGTTCCACTGTAATAATGATGATCTTACTCAGCGTACACAGTAATTAGGTCTTTTATCACATTTGTTTATTCTTTCATATTCTGTAACTGCATACTCTGAAGCTTGGCTTACAGTGATGAAGAATAATTTAGAATAATCAAACAAAATTAACTAATTATCCCAGCATTCAACTTATCAGATAACAGACCAAGACGATATTGAAGAGCAGATTGAACTAGAAGGGTATGATGAAGATTCTGAAGATGATGATGAATATAGCCCAAGACAAAGCCCCAGAAAACTGGATCATGTCAAATTGCAAGAGACCGAAGACCCACGATACACTCCAGACTGGGAGAGTGATTCAGACAGTGATGGAGACAGTTCATCGACCAGTGGCGAATTCATGTGGAGAGTGAGTACTGACTGGTCTTCCATACATGGTAACAATGTATAGCAAGTTTTTTAACTATTTAAGGTATATGCACATGTTAAATGTTAATGGTTAAGTTACTAACATTAACATTGGCTTCAGTGGTATATTAATGAAAAAATATAAGTTATCTTGGAGATGCATTCGTGTAAATGTGCATGATTTTTCTTGGAGGCATTTTTGATTGTTTAAATTGAGGCTCTGTACCTAAATTAGCTGTAGGTAGTAAATCACCTTTGTTTAGAAAAGTAATGTATCATCCTTAACAAATTCTTCATAAAATGACTGTACAGCATCCTACTGAAAAAAGTTCTGCCCAGCCTCTAATATTGGTAACACATTCATGCCTTTTTTTTTTTTTTTTTTTTTTTAAATTGTTGTTTATCTCACCTCACACGTAATCCCGTATACCCCAGGCTTACTGTTATATAAACATTTCTCATGTTATTGAGAAGCGTGCTCTCTGACACCCTCTGCGGTAATTGGTCAGGAGCAGTTGGCAGAATACTGTGTGCAAATATAAATATTTGTAAGACTTACTTTAGAAACCAAAATCAATAGCATCAAGTACTCTCCTATTTGTGGTTGCAGGGGTTGAGTCATAGCTCCTGGCCCTGCCTCTTCACTGATTGCTACTAGGTCCTCTCCCTCTTCATGAGCTTTATCAAACCTCATCTTAAAACTACAGTATATATGGTTCCTGCCTCCACTGTATCACTTAACAAACTGTTCCACTTCCTGACAACTTTATACTTGAAGAAATACTTCTTAACACTTTCAGGGTCGAGAGGCCCTCTCCTAAACTTGTTCTGTCTGGGTCTAAAATTTTTCAAAAAAAAAAAAATTCTTATGAAATGATAGAGAATCTTTTTCCGATCATAATGACACCAAAAGTATGAAATTTGATGGAAAACTTACGGAATTATGCTCTCGCGAAGTTAGAGGTCTCGATGATGATTACGCATCGGCGATTTCGCCCACTTTGAGCCCTATTTTCGGCCAATTCCAGTGTACTAGTTGACAAAAATCATATCTTTTTCGCTAGAACTCCATTTTGTCTATCGAATGAGTACAAGAAACCACCCATTTACCAATTTCAACTATCCAATAAAGTGGTCAGAAATTGGCAATTTTGCCAATTTCGCATAACTTTCAGAAGATGCCAGTTTCCAAATAGGGTCCAGAATAAACAAGACAGACATTCCTGGCACTAAAATAACATTTCCTCTGTTCATTAGTCACGTCCCCAGGCCCCTCTTACATTTCTTTTGCTTTCCACTTTGAATTTTTATTCTCACAAAAAATAAAAGATTTACTGTTATGCAGACTACTGCATTAGTGCAGAAATAGTATAAATAATATCAGCGCACTTGTGAAAGAATATTAGACTCACCAGTTGATGTGTATTGGATGCTTGGCATGATTTGTTTACTTTTGAACTTTGGTAAAAATTGAACATTTCTGCTACTTTGAGCTCAATTTCAAGGTACTTTTCATTATAAAACCAATCAAAATCATCTCAATTCCTGTAATATGTCTTCCGTTCTATAAAATGAGACCAGGAAAACTAAAAACCATAAATACCATATGAAAATACAGTGGACCCCCGCCTTACGATGGCATCGCATTACGTTAAATCCGCCATATGATACATTTTAACGCAAAAATTTTGCCTCGCCTCATGCTAAAAAAAACTCGCCTTACGTGATTCGTCCAGGACGCGTCCCACGTGTGGCCTCAGCAACAGTGTTTACAAGCCATCCAGTGCAGTCGCATCCACACATACATTCGGTACATTTCATCTTATCTCAGTGTTTTTTGTGCTTGTAACTGCAAAATAAGTTATCATGGGCCCCAAGAAAGCTTCTAGTGCCAACCCTGTGGTAAAAAGGGTGAGAATTAGTATGGAAATTAAGAAAGATTTTGAAGGGTTTGGGGCTAACTCTTGAGAAGCCTATGCCAGTTGTGGAATCCATTGTGCCTACTTCAAAGATTAAGGAAATGTGTGCAAAGTGACTTGAAGTGCAAACCTTTATGGATGAAAATCACCCTAACACAGCTATTGCAAATTGTGCTGGTGACTATTACAATGACAGTGTTGTGGCCCATTTTAAGCAAATCTTAAAGGAAAGGGAGGTACAGACCTCTATGGACAGATTTGTTGTGCGACAGAGGTCCAGTGACTCAAGCTGGTCCTAGTGGCATTAAAAGAAGAAGGGAAGTAACCCCAGAAAAGGACTTGCTACCTCAAGTCCTAATGGAAGGGGATTCCTCTTCTAAACAATAGCTTCCACACACTCCTCTCCTCCCATCCCATCAATCATCACCAAATCTTCAATAAAGGTAAGTGTCATGTATTTTATTCTTAGTAGAATAGTAATTGTGCATGTCTTCTTCAGTTTGTGTGTATTAAAATTAATATTTCATGTGGTAAAATTTTTTTTTTTTCATACTTTGGGGTGTCTTGCATGGATTAATTTGATTTCCATTATTTCTTATGGGGATAATTAATTTGTCTTATGATAATTTTGGCTTACGATGAGCTCTCAGGAACGGATTAATATCGTAAGGCGGGGGTCCACTGTACACTGCAAAGTTGCTGTTTTAAACCAAAAACACAGTCGGAGTTTTTTTTTTCTCATTATGCACTGTGTGCTGCAAGATTTTTTTTATACTGTGCACACTGACCACATAGACCCATTCTTTCATATGTAGGCCTACCAGCTTTCTCTCACTAGATTTGAAGGCGCTAGAATTTAGGAGTTCTGGTACATCAATAGCCCTGGTGCGTAAGCCATACTAGTATGTCGGAAACCCTGAAAGGGTTAACATCCCTCTGACTCATCTGAGTCTTCAACTTCCAATTGTGACCCCTTGTTTCTGTGACCCATCTCTGGAATATCCTGTCCCTGTCCACCTTATCAATCCCTTGCAGTATTTTATATGTCGTTATCATGTCTCCCCTAACCTTCCTGTCCTCCAGTGTCATCAGGCCAATTTCCCTTAACCTTTCTTTATAGGACATTCCCCTTAGCTCCGGGACTAGTCTTGTTCCAAACCTTTGCACTTTCTCTAATTTCTTGACATGCTTGACCAGGTGTCGGTTCCAAACTGGTGCTGCATACTCCAATATGGGCCCGACATACACGGTGTAGAGTCTTGAATGATTCCTTACTAAAATGTCGTAATGCTATTCTTAGGTTTGCTAGGCACCCATGTGCTGCATCAGTTATTTGGTTGATATGTGCCTCAGGAGATGTGCTCGGTTATTATACTCAACCCAAGATCCTTTTTCTTAAGTGGTGTTTGCAGTCTTTGCCACCTAGCCTGTACTCTGTCTGAATATTGTCCAATGCTAAAAATATTGCTATTTAACCCTTTGAGGGTCGACAGGCCCTCTCCGAAACTCGTTCTCAGGGTCGGCCAAATTTAAAAAAAAAAAAATTATTTTCTCTTATGAAAAGATAGAGAATCTTTTCCCGATCATAAAGACACCAAAAGTTTGAAATTTGATCGAAAACTTACGGAATTATGCTCTCGCAAAGTTAGCGGTCTCGGCGATGTTTACGCATCGGCGATTTTGCCCACTTTGAGCCCCATTTTCGGCCAATTTCACTGTACTAGTCGACAAAAAACATGAATATTTCGCTAGAACTCCATTTTTTCTATGGAATGGGTACAAGAAACCACCCATTTATAAATTCAACTATCCAGTACAGTGGTCAGAATTTAGCAATTTTGCCAATTTCACACAAATTTCAAAAGATGCCAATTTCCGAATAGGGTCCAGAATAAACAAGAAAGACATTCCTGGTACTAAAATGACATTTCCTCTAGTCATTAGTCACGTCTCAAGGGCCCTCTTATATTCTTTTGCTTTCCACTTTGAATTTTTATTCTCACAAAAAATATAAGATTTACTGTTATGCAGACTACTGCATTAGTGTAAAAAATGGTATAAATATTATTGGTGCACTTGTAAAAGAATATTAGACTCACCAGTTGACGTGTATTGCACGCTTGGCATGATTTGTTTACTTTTGAACTTTGGTAAAAATCGAACATTTCTGCTACTTCGAGCTCAATTTCAAGGCACCTTTCATTGTAAAACCAGTCAAAATAATCTCAATTTCTGTAATATGTCTTCCATTCTATAAAATGAGACCAAGAAAACTAGAATACAACAATAAATACCATACGAAAATACACTGCAAAGTCGCTGATTTATTAAAAAAAAATGGTCAAAGTTTTTTTTTTCTCATTATGCACTGTGTGCTGCAGGATTTTTTTTAGACTGTGCACACTGACCACATAGACCCATTCTTTCATATGAAGGCCTACCAGCTTTCTCCCACTAGATTTGAGGCCGCTAGAATTTATGAGTACTAGTACGTCAAAAACCCCTACGCGTAAAACGTACTAGTACGACCAAAACCCTCAAAGGGTTAACCCTTTCATTTCTCAGACCCCCCAAATTAATATTTCTCTCTGTCCACTTTTTTTATATTTTTTCTTTCAAAGTGGCAGAGAATCTTTTTCTGATGGAAATGACACCAAAAGTAGGAAATTTGATGGAAAACTTGCTGAATTACGCGGGTGCAAAATTAGCAGTCTATTCAATTTATGCATTGGCGACTTTGCCCACTTTGAGACCTATTTTAAGTTATTTCTATTGCTCCATTTGACCAAACTCTTAGCTACTTCACAAATATGCCTTCTGTTCTATCGATTGAGTACAAGAAACCACTCATTTTCAACTATTACATAATTTTACACAAATTAAAGATAAACAATTTATAAATAGTCCAAAATAAACAATGTAGACATTTCTGGCACTAATACATTTTCCCTGTTCATTAACCCTTTCAGGGTCCGTCCCGTAGATCTACAGCTTTACGTTCAGGGTCCAAACGTAGATCTACGTCATGAGCTCAGCTCACTCTGATAAACTGTGAGTGGCACATTTGGGCCTAGATATGAGA